CTTCGTGACCGGAGTATAGCAGCATCTCTCCCGTAGCTAGCCTTTTCTGTCCAGCTTGGGTCCAGTGGGTTTCGCTGATTCCCAGTACTGCTAAGTTGTATCTCCTCATTTCCATTGCTATTTGACTGGTCTTCCCGGTTTCCCACATTGTTCGAACGTTCCATGTACCTATAAAAATTTTTGCTCTGGTTGTTAGAAGGGGCATCGGCCTCGTGGCTTCCGAAGGAACTCGGCTTTCACCATGAAGCGTCATAATTCTTCTAAATGAAGACCTTCTAACTCCCAGGGCAGAGTTTAAATGGTTCGGATTATTTTTTCTGGTAAGCGTTTTTTAGCGAGTTAGTTTTCTACGGGATTGGGACGCTAACCCTATGCCCAACCCTCTCCTTTAACAGGGCTTGAGACTGGCAGTAACTCTAGAGGAGCTACAGGCGGATTTAATAATTATTTTACCATAGTAATATAAATAGCTTATCATACACTATCATTGGTTCATATATTAAATCCACTACTTATTCTATTTATTTATTTAGTTATTTGAACACATAAATATTGGTACAAAGAGGCACCGAATACATATGCAACACACAAGTCACTTGATTTGTGTGTGGGCTGTAATGCTGCTCGGGTGCTTAACCGAAGCAGGTAGTTTTCTTACGGAAACACACCCGGAGCCTTAGACCTAAAGGTCTGAACCATATGGCAGTGGAGCAATGTCAGGAGATAATGTCACATGGTAGCCGATGATCAACAACAAATCCATACTCCATTGGTTCCTTCGGTATCGTGGAAACCATATACACGATTGGTTAGGAATAAGGGTTTTCCAACTCCCCTAGGTGGATCCCCCGTGTCCATCAACCCAGTTAAAGCACCGGACATTCGCCTTTCATCTACTCAATTTTTTAAACAACACCTCCACCTCAAGAAGGCAGTGAGTAGGACTTCTTTGGCAGTGGATGTACATGTAATCAAGTATGATCATGAAATTAAGAATTATTGGATACAAAAGTCAGCTAACATATTGTTTATCGTGGTTACAAATTGTTTGGTAATGATATATTCAAAATGAAGATTGATTTCACCATGAAATCATATCATTTGAGAAGCCATTAAACTAGCGGATACCTTTTTTGTATATAAGTTAAAAAATCTCATATTTTCTAAGTTCGATTTTTAGGTAGAGTTTGTAGTGTCGGTTATTGTGTTAAGCCCATATACCTTATTCTAGCTTTCGGACAGCCCAATCTATTTATTCTATTTGAGCCATATTTTGACCTTGTTAATTATTCGCTTATCAATTTTAACTGTTTATATGAGCGCACATGTGTGTACACTTCTCATCCCATTATTCATCACATGTTTAACTTATTTTTGTGTCTACAAATCTTGATTAAGGCTTGGGTAATAGGAGTTGGCTTACTCGCCATCTCCACTGCGCGTCGTTTTGCTTCACTCTGTTCCATTCGCTTCGTATACAAAATATATCTGTTCAAAAGTCGATTCTCGTCATTGACTTCTTTAATTCCGTTAACGACTAACGTGATTTAAGTCGATGATTATATACGAGAATAGGCGACATATATATTTCAGTAACATTCATACAATCAGTCATACGATCACCTTGGTGTCAGATCCCGGGCCACTAAAGTGGAGAGCCCATCAACAAACATCGTTCGACCTAAATGACGACAAAATAAAAGGTCCCACAAGTTACCCATAAAATGCCTAAAAGTGTAAAATGAAGTTGAAATAAAGGTCTTTTGGAATTTCTTCAACTGATGTTACTTATTGTTCAATGTTAGATTAAAACATTTAAGGTTATCGTTTCTAAACTAGAAATTAAAGATGATTTATTTGCATATACATTATTCTGTAAATGGATAATAATAATAATAATAATAATAATAATAATAATAATAATAATAATAATCGATAACTATCTGTCTAACTGGTACCACTTGAAGTACATTTCTACTTTATTTATAAAGACCCATAAGACACTTGTTTCTAATTGTCACAGAATATTCCGGAACATTTATTATTTTATACATTTTTCCTGTCAAAGTTGTAACAGATTTTGAGAAAAGAATACATATTTTGTTGTTTTTAAACAGGCTTTCTGAAGATCGTCAAAACAAGTCGAATACTTTGACATAATTTATATAGATTAGGAAAACATTGTATTGCGTACGTACACTTGATTAGTCAAAAAATAATCTAGGTAATTAGTAGATACGTAACTTTCCCCGGTTTTACACCCTATGGGTTAAGGGTTTTGTTAAGATACTTGAGAATTAAGCTAGCTTAGTGATTATTATGATGAGCGCAGATTCTAAGAGACAAATGTGTGCCACTGTCACATATGGCATGTATGTAATTGACTTTAGATCTGTTAATTCCGTAATTTTAATGTCTTACCTTCAAAAATGCAGGCCCATGGGTCAAGATGAAGTGTGGTTTGTCTAGACTTTGACTTTTATGACTTTACTCTTCCCATGAGAAGAGGCAGCAGAAATGGAAAAAACTGATTATCTGTAGATAAAAAGCTTGCTGTCATTACGCTGAAAATCATTTGACAGCAAGATGGTAAGCAGACTTTCCGTTTACTGCTTTTGGTCTTATCAGCCGATCTGTATGACACGAAAGGACCTCGAAGAACAAGTGTTTTGACCAGTGTCGTTCGATAGAGTAGACGTAATTGTTGTACCTGACTGCCACACCAAGGTACAGATACGGTCAGGAAGTTATTCACCAACAATAAATCAAGTGAGATCCGTTGACAAGTTGACAAATGCAGTCACTTCACTGTTAGTCTCCTTTTTTGTGGTTCTCATACCATTAACATTCCGAGAGTTTCCCAAAAGGCAGCTGAATGAAACCAACGAAATCAATGAACGCTTACCACTTTTGCATAAGTTTTCTTATCATACATCTGTTAAATACTGTAAATCTACGTAAGTTGTAGGAACAGCACTATAGTATGGTAGATGTCTAGTAGATGTGAATATTGAGAAATGAACTTTTTAACCAATTTTTTCAGAAAGAGTACGATTTCATAAAGTTAATAGTTTTAAAACGACTGGAATAGCAAGAAGACTAATAGCCACAGTGTAAAATGATTAAAATAATTCATTTCACCTGAAGATACTTTCATTTAGAATGTGGATTACAAGATATTTTGCAGGTTTTCCGTGCTAATTAGTTCATATGATATTTGGAGAAAATGCAAATTTGTTGTGTTTATCACTATAATAACTTAATTGAAGTGATTCGTGCTCACTGCTGAGGAGTCCCACAATAGGACGAAACGGCCGTCCAGTGCTTCCAGGTTTTCCATGGTGGTCTAGCTTCAAATGACTCATGATCTCAACTGCTGATTCGTCTAAGTTGAGGAAGTATTTTCAAATGATTAAACATCTTGTTTTTTAGCCAAATTCAGGTAGCTACTTTTTAATTTCTAAGTAGCTTGTTTGAAAGATAAATATTTAAAAAGAGATGGATGGTAACTTCTGCAGCTATATTCATGATAGTTCTTAATTGTTACACTTGTATTTAAAATTTCAACTGGATTTCGCTTTAAATGCATGATTGATTACTGTGTGATTTATAACGTCACACCTGTATATTCTTCAAGTCTGATCAAATTCGACTGGTTTACTTGTAATGTTGTCACCGGTTTAAGAGTTGGACATTATGTCAAGTGGATGGGGGTAAACGGTATGGAGCCCTGGATCTAAGATTTTGATTACTAAAGTATGTCTACAAATTTCATGAAAGTGATGCTATCTTTGGGATTTAGACTCACATCAAATAATAGCACAGTCAGGAATGTTACGGTGGGATGAAAATATATAGAGCTTAGTAATATTAAATTAGAGTTACCCAATAAAAGATATTTTGACACAGATGAAAAAAATTGTTGAAATAATTGTCCATGAGTATAAGGACCATCGATGTTCACCTTGTTTATGAAAATTCATAGTCTGAATGAAGTAAGGATTCGAATGCTATTGGAATATCCTCATTAAAATATGTTTTGCCTGTTTGGATCTCCTTTTCATGGTGAACGTTGAATAAACAATACGTCTTGATATCATCTTGGTTAAATTTTAATTATTGCTTAATCATAAATAAAACTGTGCAAAGAAAAATTGTTTAAACGCTTAAATAATAGGCGCTATATGACCTTCTCTTTATGAATCCATTTATAGATGAACTTATGACATCAGATGAAAACAATTAAATTAGTTTACTTGGTTATTTCAGTGAATATATCACAATGACGATCTAACTCTGATCCTTTTTCCAAATAGACTTTTAATAAATGTATTTCAATGAAGTTTGAAATTTGTGAAGATATGGTTGTTCAAATCAATGTTGTATAAGTCTAAACAGCTTGATATTCAATTATTGGATCATTATTACCGCTGGAATTATCTTATACTTGATATTTCTTTGTTGAATAATACATTCGGCAGTTTAAGAGGCTTGAACGGGTTTCTACAACTGGATCTCTGGTAATAATGTTCATGCTGTGGTGCATGCTACTTATGTTAACAGACATGAGTGGTATGTAACATAAATCAGAAGTGGAATGCCTGTCAAAAGAAGGTTGAGAAGATTGAATTGAGGAGGACAGAAGGGGAAACAGAAAGTGATTGTAATAATGACGAGATTGAAAGGATCATGAGGCATGTAAAAGGACAACTGGTGGATGTGCGAATCAGATACTTGATACATGGTTTTCAAATAATTTACTAAATCACTCTGTAGTTTGGCATTAAATAGTAAATTTAGTTAACCCCACCTGCGCGTTCGTCCGCTACAATTCCAATATTTTCAGTTCATAATAGCACTCTACACAATAACTATCTCAACGACACCATTTATTCTTCACAAAATTATAAATAATTCTTAAATTAATCCTTGTGCTTCGTTTAAGTGGTAAAAAGATATTGTCACAATCCATAATACACATAGAATTTTTCTTATCTCAGACTTAGAGCGTTGCATGGTTGTCCGAAAATAAGTTATGATTCAAAACTGGCTAGTGATTCTCAAAAGTGGGCTGAACACTTGGCTTCAACAGATTGTATGCAGCATAGTAAAGCAGATGGATATGGTGAAAATTTAGCATTTCAAATGTCTACAGCCGGTGCATCACTGAATGGTAAGTTGAATACCTATGTATATCTGAATATCTTTAAGATACTTGAATTATCTTATTAGAAAAGCCTACAGATTAGAATGATGTATTTGCTTTTGTATATCTGTATTTGGGATTGTTTAGAATAATGGCATAATGATTGTTTTCTACAACAGTCCAAACACAAATATATCGTAAAATCTCCTAGACTCAACACAACTGAATATATTTGTGGTAATGTTAAACATTTGTCAGGCATATATACTTGAGAACAGAGAAAAAAAATCCAAGGAACTATATCTGTTGAGAAAACTTGTTATTATAACAGAAAAAAATCATACAATTAGTTCCATTATTAGATTTAAATAAAGGTAATTCGACAATTGGGGCACCTAGCCTGTCGTATGCCCTAATGGTGTTCTTGTGATATTCGCGTTGCCTGACCTGCCAAGAGCAATAAGATAGTGCATGATGGTATTGTTGTGTGCTAGTTTCAAAGAGGATTGTATATTATATACATGCAAATCCGCCCCGTTATTGTTCCTATTCAACAATTGAGACGGACTAAAATGAATTAATTTTTATTTAGTGATTTCACTTCAACTGCTTACAACCGAATTTAAATTGAAACATAGCATGATATAACACAATAGAGATAGCAAATTTTTAGAAAAATGAGATGACTATGGCTATCAGTATCTATATGTATCGTTATTTGAAGATGGAAATCGAAATACACCTAGAGGAGGGGGCGGAAGATGAGTCAGTAACTATCTTGGAAATGATATTTGATAGAGTGAATTATTGTTATATCTAGAAGCTTAGATTTTTAATACACCGCGTATGACTTGAGCACTCGAATGCTAGAACCCTCCCAAGTTGCAAATGAGAAGAGAGATGACGACTGGAGAAAGTGCGTATTGGGCAAGGATCAGAATGTACAGAAAACCATGGGTATTTATAGATATTAGAGTTCGTTAAATCAACATTATAATTCAACCAATCTTCAAAGACGCATGTTATGCTACTGACCAATAGTAGACTGCTACGATGGTATTCTAGAAAGCCCCATTACGTTGTGATCGGGTGGGACACTTTGGCTCTTCTAGAGCCTCTGGAAATTCCGTTGTAATTCTCGGAAGCCGTCCTAACAACTATGTTACAATCCACGAGTTTCATAAGTCCGCAGAGTTAAACGAATTGATGCGTAGTAAGAATCGGCTCAGCAATGAATACAGAACAGTTGTACCCAATAATAAAGAAATAATAATATTTGGTAATAATAATTAGTATGGTTGTATTTGGAATTATGAATTAATCAAGTCAGTGATAAACTGATGACTGTCTTTTTTTGAAAGTATAAATCTGGTTTGTTGTCTTTTAATCATAATTGTTTCGGTAACTCATCAAGAAGATGCATTCTTTTTGTATGACGATGATTCTGAAAGATCGGAAGACGTCCCGTATTGATTAAATGCCAAGTAATTGGAATATTTAAAACTTTCACATCTTTTAATCTCAAATTCCTCGAAACATGCTCGAATATATAAATATGTACATATCCCACCGTTCTTGCAATTTATGTGATTTGGTACGTAAATATCGATCAGTTCCATATAACTAACCTTAGACAAGACCTAACAAGCTTCATGTAATCCGTTGTAAGACATTAAATATCTAAAATCAACTAGTATATACTGGTACACTGTTACAGATTCATTTATTTAATCACTCGTTTTCAAAATAACTATTATGATGAAGAGTAGTTCTCTTATAAATAGATGACATTATTGTATTATCACGTACATAAAAAAATATTTTTTAAATATTCCCCTTTCAAAGGTCGTGAAGCAACTCGAAATTGGTACGATGAAATTAAGCAACATGATTTCAATGGACAAAATCAACCTGGGACAGGTATAAGACAACCAAAAAAGAATAGTCCATTTAAAATTTGTTTTTATTTCTTAAATTCATTTATTACGTTCAATTGGTGTTGTTTACTTGCATCTTCCGATGTTATTTAGGACTTCAATTGATCAGTCTCTTGTTGGCATATGTGCATCCTGTACGGACTGTCTCGATATTTCCGAAGTCACAGGCTTTATAACCAAATATGGACAGTGGCTAGCAGTTGAATCTAGGACTCACGTTTCTTTCTGTTTGGGACCCATCAGCTGGATGTATCTGCATCTGATGGGTGCGAAACAGGACGAAACGCGCGTCCTAGATTCCACTGTTAGCCATTATCCATCTTTGCTTTCATTTAGTACTTGCTAAATTTTAGCTATTTATTTTATCAGATGAAGAGCAACAGTAATTGTGAAATTCTTCAAATATCCAATAGTGTCCAGTCAGTCTGTGATGCATCGCTTCCATTTGCCTGCCACACAATATCATAATAGTGAAATAAAGTTATCAATACAAATGTCAGAATAGTAGTAAAAATTATGTCAGTAGTATTTTAAGAAAAAAGATAAATAGTAGCTAGCAGTGAAATGCGCGTTTTGTCCCATTTGAGACCCTTTGGCTGAATATACTTTGATTCAATCCCATTATCTTTAGCTTTGTCATCACCTTGTTCACTTGTTTATGCAACTGTAATCAAGTGAATTTTATCTGATTTATATTTGTTATTTGAATCTTCCCACTGATTTTTAGTACTGGAAGTGATCAATGTTTTACCATATGTACATCCTATGAGGATTGCTTTGCTATTGACTTTAATTCATAAGCATTTTTAGACATAGATGGATGGTGGTTAGCAGGAAAGGTTAGAGACAGACAGTATTATTCAAGAATCAAGAATACATTCATCGAATAAAAAACACAATATAATTTTAAAAGCTAAGATTTAAGAGAAGACGAAGAATCAGAAGTTCCATGCTACTGTGACCGGATCACAGCCATCTCTTCCATTATCTCAAACCGTTTGTTTTGTTATTCATGAAGTCTCTGACAACATGGTCTGTATCTACAATTTTACCAAATATTCACTGACGTTTGAATAATAAAATCTAAATATTATTAGGTTCACTTATGTGCAAACCCAAGTTATCTTGTTTATCTTGATTTCGTGAATAGAAGTCATAGTTTGTTCACCATAACGATTGAAGCTTTTTAGTTGTAACTAGTTTAAACTACTTGATTTTTCAAGAAAGATACTTTATTTCATCTAAAAACTCTTTAATTGTCAAACTCTACTGTCAAAGTATATATGAAGTTCTGATTAGTTATAAATATAAAAGAGAAGGACAAAATGTCAGCGAGTTTTCAGGAGTAATACAGAAGATTTTGAGGTAATAGGATCAAACTGAAAAGAAAATAATAGTTTGATGTTCGTTATAAGTTAACAGCTCTGTTCATGTTAATGGAAGGTCAATTTTCACTACTTATGATGATAAGTAGCATAAAGTGCAACACAAAAGTAATCCTCAATTGTTTGTTATGAACTTGATTCATTGTGGTTCACCTTAATATACCAAACAAAACACATATCATGAAAATTAGGGTTTGAGAATGATGTTTCGACATATCAAACTTACCAAAAGAACAGCGACCAAGAATACTTGAATGAAAATGAAAATACTATGGTTCACTTGAACAAGAATATTGTTTATAATTGATTAAAATGGATTTTCAACGTGCCACATAGTTTTCAACATGTAAATACTTACATGTTCAACTGAAAATGTATACACTTTCACTGGATGCTCACGATTACTTATTTGGGCTTAGCGATGACAAATTAAGATATCAATGAATATAAACGTCTATTTACTACAAAGTATTTCCAGTTTCCTGGTGAAATACAATTGAAACAAAGATATACTTCTACATTAAGTTTGTGCTGATGATGTCGTTCAGAAGAACGATGAAAGCTCCACGACTAAACCATTCACATCAGATATCAAAATTCCATCATAATCACCCATCTAACCTACAAATCTTCTAAATCATCTCAAAGTCATATGAGCGTAGTACACTTCTCGTTGTTAAAAAAAATAGGATAATTTCGCCTAAAGGCAGACCTCCATTTGAGAACAATTGTATTTTCTCCACGAGTGTCTTCGTCAGCATGTTCTACCAACAAGTGCAAAGATATTTTAATGCCTTATTTAGTAACATCCCATTCAAACTTCACCATGTTTTGGTATTCAATTAGATTTGTAGGGAATATAATAAGTAGTATATTACTAAAAATAGTTATCTCATGATTTGTATTATCTAAAAACAAAGTTTTATTTTCAAGTTGTTCAAGAAATAACGTACTTTGGAATAACTAGATAAACACAAGACTACATTACTATGTAAACAATAGAAAGGATATTAAAGGATAGCAACGATTATAGATAAGTGGTTAGTTAAATAAACACTACAGACTTAAAATATTTGAAATTTTTATTTATTTACATAATAAAGTACATTAAATTGAATCTGTCAACAATTAGTTCTGATAATTTGAAATTCAGCTTTAGTTTTATTAATGTCAATGATTCATTTGACAACTGGATCTCAAACAATGATTTAATCACATTTAAATAATTTAAGCAATCTAGTTTCAACAGTAAAGATGATTGTTCTAGGTTTGTACAAATTTCCGAAGCATTCTCGTATTCACTTTTGAATGAAACTATTTTCTGGCTAGCTTACTGACTATGATTAGTTACAAACAATGCTGGATAGTTGTGAATGGAAACAAAATGTATATTTAGTTCATGATGACACAATATGATTCCTCTTTAGTACAAATTTCCTCTCTATTATATTATTCAAGTATATTTTAATCGGTAAAATGTCCATATATTAACTGATTGATTTATAGATGGAATCGTTCCGGTCACATGTATGCAATGGTTAACTAGCGAGATTATAAGAACTCATAATGAGTGAATAACATTACTGTAATTAATTTATCTGCTTACAGGTTAATCCTTTTTACAGATTTATTCCGATTGAAAATTTCTTTACGAACAAGGTGAAGCTTATGCTTGGAGCTATTCAACATTGTATACCCAACATTCTATGCTTGATTCATAAGTCTTTTAGCATTCTAGCATTTTGTTAATCAGTGGAAAGAAAAATGAAGTATCTTCTCAAAAACCACTAGTGCTGATTAATCTTCTACTGGGATTAGATAACCGTCATTTTCATCAATTCATTGAGTAAACTTACTCTGTGCTACAAATCATAATCTCTACAAACATCTTATACCAATAACAGTAAATGATTGATTCGATAACCTTCACTAGTATCCTTCATTAAATTTCAGTGATTATATGTAGCCTGATAGATAAACGAGTTAGAAATTAGATAATGAATAAATACAGATTGTATTGTGGTGCGTGCCACTCATTTCCACGGATATAAGTAGTATGTAACATTAATCGAAAATGGAATGCCTGGGAGCAGAAAGTTGAGAAGATCGAATAGAAGAGAACAGGAACACAGAGTGATTGACATGAAAATGAAGGGAGAAAAAGTCTGAGACAAGTGATGGACATTTCGCATTTGAGGTATTGAACGTATGGTATTCACATTTTACCATAAAACTCGGTAATTGTGCACAGTTGTCACCACTTGTGTTCTCGTTCACTACAGTATGACTACAACTGTCATCAAAAAAAGGGATTATAAAGTATTTTCAATGTTAAGTTATTCTTATTTTTTATCTGACATCAGGACATTTTACTCAAGTAATTTGGAAGTCAACTAATAAAGCAGGATTCGGTTCTGCATTCTCCAAAGATGGAAAGAAAGTGTACGTAGTGGGACGTTACAAACCAGCCGGAAATATAATTGGTTATTATGCAGATAATGTACCGAAACCAAAGAAAGCGCCTCCACCAAGTAAGCAGAAATAATGACAATAATTTATATCCATTAGTGAAATTACTTATTAATTTATAACACACGAGTTGTTACAAAATATGTGTCTACTTTCCCATGATAGTGAAGAAACATCAGTATGACCAGGGAGTTCTTTAAGCTGGAGGTCTGCTGGTGAATCGTAAACTCCTTTTCTGTTTTAATCCTTATCTGCACAAAGGGAAAATTTGTTAACAGTTACTGTCAAAAATTAATTGACTCCTTGATAAATTATTGATCTCTACAATGCAAAATGTCTCACCCTATTTGGATCTTATTTACTTACAACTCCATTAAACCTGGGTTTAAATTAATTCTTAGTTTACGTTGTTTAGTAAAGAGGATAGATTCCTGATCACTATGGCGTTAGTCAAGATATAAAGAACATGAGACAACTTGAAACGTGTTTCTGAACCTAATAATGTTTCTAGTTGTTGTGATAAGATTACCAAGAAAGAATTCAATAGTAGCATTTTGTCATTTACTTTGAAGAAGCTAACAGAAAACAAGTCATTTGGATTTATAAGTCGTATTTAAATCGTCGGCAATAAGCAAAACAGGCTTTTTTTAAGTTCTTAAAGTTTACGGAAATAAGAGGCATATATAATAAGATGGGGTAAACGATATATTTTTATGAACTTAATTGAAAATAATGTAATAGGTAATAGACGTCCCTTAAAGTTTCTCACAAATATCATCTGTCAATCGCTCGTCATTAAATGATCTATTGCTTGATTTAGCTAGTAACATGATATTGGAATGCATAATCTATCTGGTAAGAAGGATAACGAATTTCATGGGATCTGTTTTGTTGAATTATTAGTACTTATGAGTTTAATAGCAGGACTTAATTCTCAAATCAGTGAATCATTCGTTAATTCAATAAATTCACTTTAGCGTCAACACATGTACTGACTCATCACAACTTTGAAGGATAATTTCACTTCGAAGAACTCTGTCTTGTTAAAACATGATGATATTATCATTTATATATCAATCAATTACAGAGATAAATCACATCTTGTAAACTATAGAAACTGAACGTAACCTAAATTTCAACTAGCTTACCCATCAGTTAAGATCTTGACGCTTATAAAAACTTATCTAGTCTATATTAAGGTCAAAACATACCGTTTTAGTTTTTACAATAAGTAAGAGATTTCTGTATAGAAAAATTCAGAACTAAATTTAAATGGTAGACTTATCTATCACTGCTTAATTCACACACTCCTCATTAACTTAAAACATTTTGAGTATATCCTATGATAAATTAAACTGATATTTTCTGTTAGACCTAGAAAAGTACCTTATTGTTTGTTTATCATACTGAGTGATAATAATGTTAATTTGATTATGAGTGATTGTCTTAACTGGATGGTAGAATGGATAAATCAGAGGAAACGTCCTACCTTAGACAGTTCCTTAAAAGGAAGTACGAAGGGATCCAGTGGCAAATTATATGTAGCTGACTCTAATAAAACCATGCTGTGATAGCAAACAATGTCCGCATAATCTACTTTGAATAATATAGAATTCATGAGTTGATGAAAGCCAGACCACCGTCGACAACCTGGAAGCACTGGACAATCGTTTCGTCCTACTATGGGACTCTTCAGTAGTGTGCATCCACGATCCCACATGTGAGGCTCGGACCCGGGATCTTCGGTCGCACACGCTAACGCCTAACCCCTAGACCACTGAATAGATGATACTTTGGTAATCAAAAGTGTTTATATATTTGAATAGCATACATAATCTTTAAGACCAATATGATATTACTCACAGATTACTTCATTAATTTTTTAAACAATTTTTTGCAAATCGTTTTAATCATTCTAAAGAATATCGTAAAAGTAATTCAAATTAGTGATCTCAGTCAATGTTTTCTTTTAAAAATCTAACCTAAGATACATCATATTTCTTTATTCCCATAATGTTCTGTCCTTACATTGTTTGTTTTTAAAAAACAAAATGCTGTTAGAACTTTAGTTGTTTGAGTAAGCAAATAACTCACCTTTATATTAGTTAGATAACTATGGTTTATAAAAGTTGTAAGATAAAGTGTACGTGGTTTTGAACATTGTATAATGAAACGTTATGTATAAATGATGATTAAATAAATTCAATCACATATAGTTTTCTTCCTTAGTTCAATAAACTTGTGTAAATTTGTTACTTGTACAGATAATAATCTGAAATAATGAAGCGATATTAAAGCACTTCACATTCCTATAAAATGAATGTCTACACATATATCAGACATAATTGTCTTAAAGTGTGGTTGAAATTTTAGTAATCAACATGTTAGCTTTGTTATTCACCGAGATGTTATTGTCATTATAAAAATCAGTGTAATAATTGCTTTGAATAATGATTTTTAGAAGAGTTTCATAAGCGCTTATGATATTTTGTTTATTTTTACTGTTGATGAGGAAAAAACTACTGAGATTGATGAGTCGCTAAATGATATTAAAGAGATACTTCTTTTCCAAGAAGAGAAATTGATAATGTAAGATAACTTCATTCATAAGCGTATGATCAACATTTTACATTAAGTATGTAAGTATGTTTCGAAGTTTGAGTAAATGTTGACAAAAAAAAATCGGCGAGACTATAATTTAGAGACGATCCAGTGAGAAGCGTTTGAGCAATTTCAAGTCACGGAGCCAAGTTCAACACGCGATGCTAACATACGATCGATTCACAGCGGATTTTAGAGAGGAGGTGATTAATGAGAGGTTACAACATATGGGACGGCGAGACTCTAATTTAGGGACGATCCAGTGAGAAGCGTTTGAGCAATTTCAATTATTAGCCTATTAGAAGACAGTATAAAGTAAAATATATTACAAGAAAGTAATGAATTACAGTGGATATTCTTTTACATGATTAAAAACTTGTGAAGATTTGATAAAGGCTCAGAAGTTCTGGATTCATAATGCATACGTTTAGAAACTCGTGCATAGGTTTAGTGTTAAGGTTAGGGTTTGGGTTAGGTTAGGGTTAGGGTCAGGCTGCTAACATGAGATCGGTATACATTGGATTTTAGAGAAGAGGTGTTTATTGAGAGGCTACAACCCTGACCCTAACCTCTAGAATCCGTTGTAAACCGATCTCATGTTAGAACCCTAACCCAATGGACGAGTTTCTATTCCATATGCATTGTGAATTCAGAACCTCTGAACCTTAATCAAACCTTAACAAGTTTTTAAATCATGTAAAAGGAGAATATCCACTGTAATTCATTACTTTCATATAATATATTTTCACTTTATACTAACTTTTTTCTGATTGGCTAATAATTGTCAAGGTCACTTAAGATTCGTTCAAAGGTCGTCCTTAAATTAGAGTCTCGCCAAAAAATCGTTTTGATAAATGTTTGGCGTTTCTGGAGTAGTGATTATGAGTTAAATATTGCTTGTTAATTTTCGTAACTTAGTGAGTGAAATTAATTGGTTTTAATTTATGAGTAGTAATGTCCGTAACAGGAATACAATGGACACGGTGGATGCAACTAGACGATTTGAACTTCTCAGATGTCTTAGTCCTTCGAACTCACACACACGAACAAATGAAGGTCAAGACAACCACTGTAGCGAAAACCTTACATTATTAGGCACAAAGAAAATGATAACAACAAAAATACAAAAGAGAGAACGCTAAGCCAATCAAACTTGATAGAAAAACTCTGGAACAGAATAAAACGTTCACTTACCTGGTTAGCATCATCGATGAACGTAAACGATCTGATGCGGATGTAAAGACAAGGATTCGAAAAGAAAGGTTTCAAGAACAAATGGAACTCAAAACAACTGTTAAACAACATGAAAGTTGGAATCTTCAGTACGAACGTCAAGACAGTACTGTATGGAGTTGAAACATGGAAAACTACTACAACCATAATCAAAAGGTACAAGTATTTATAAACAGTTGTCTACTGCAGATACTCAATGTCTGTTGACCGGATACAATCAGCAAGTCTACTGTGGAAGAGAACAAACCAACTTTAGTTGAATAAGAAATTAGGAAAAGACGATGGAGGTGGATACGACGTACATTACGGAAATCACCAAACTGCATCACGAAGCAAGCGCTCACGTGGAATCCCGAAGGAAAACCAAAAAACACACTGTTGAGAAGTGGAATCAGACATGAAAAGAACGAATGACAACTGGATACAATTGGAAAGGATTGTCCAGGACAGAGTCAGATAGAGAATGCTAGTGATCGGCCTATGCTCCTCTATGAAGAGCAACAGCTGTAAACAAGCAAACATTAAACGTCCATGATACTATGTAATTGTTATTGTTAGGAAAATACAATATAATTAACTATCCATTTCGATTTTTGTACATAAAATTGTCAACAATATTCAATTATCACAAGTGGAAATTGATAGGGAGCAAATATTTATTATCCCAGTAACAAAACACAAATATATAACCTGTTATTTTAAAAGTTTACGTAATAGAAAGTAAATAATTGTGTATTTATATTAAATTAACACTTAAAATTGTTATTATTATTATTTTTTGCAGGAGATGAATTTAACAAAATACCAGAAAGTAAATGTTCAATATTGTAACTTGTATCTGGATTCGATCAATTGTTAAATACACGTTATTAATAAATGGATCACGATCAAAATATGACTGCTCATTTAAGACAAAATTATATATATATATATAAGTATTTGTTATCAGTTGACTTTATTTCACAATAAGTGAAGATTTATAATATGATGAGATGAATATTTGATAGATCTGTTTGTTTAATGAATTCCTTTATATATAATATTAAAAGTTTATTTTCTCATAATATAGATTTGTTTTGTTTTCATTTACTGTTGGGTATTATTTTGACGATATATTATTAAATGTTTTAAAAAGAAATCAGTTGGATTATTTTAATAATGATAAATTACTGATAAGTCTCGAATAGGACAAAATACTCTTTCTTAATTTTGATTGAAGTCATGAACCGATTGATCTTAGACTATCATTGAAAACCTGGAAACACTGGACGGCCGTTTCGTCCTATTGTGGGACTCCTCAGCAGTGCACACCATCATCATGATCTCAATCAAAACTTAATGATCTTCACAACCCCTATACTGATAAATACCATGTGCTCACTAATGACTAGCATCGTGAGAAAATTCTCAAAGTTCTGGTGAGAAGCCGTGACCAGTGTAGCTAATCCGTGTCGGGTAGAAACAGGTGTCTACCTCAATACAATAGAAGATGGTTGCGCAACTCCATGGATTGCTTGAGGTTAGACACTACCACTGTAGGACGCCGGTTCAATGTTCCAGTAAGTTAAGCGTTAGCTCACGAGACTGAAAGCCCTGGGTCGGAATCCCACGATCGGGATAGTGGATGCACATTACTGAGGAGTCCCACACTTGGACGAAACGGCCGTCCAGGTTTTCAATGGTGGTCTAACATCAATCGGTTAATGATCTCAATCAAAAACAACAATCTCGACAACCCCTATACTTACTTTTTTAATTGTTGATCAACATCGATTGCGTAAGAAAATCATGTTTTATTTATGACGTATTTCATTGTTGATACATAAAAAATTACGAAAATGGAGATTTGTGCAGATTGTAGTAGTTTAAGTGGTTGAATTCATGAGTCAATCTAAGCTAGACCACCGTCGACAACCCGAAAGCACCCTACGACCGTTTCGTCCTAGTATGAAATACCTCAGAGTTCCACACACACGATCCCTCATACGAGACTCAAAGCAGGAACTTCAGTCCCACGCACGAAAGCTTAACCTCTAAATCACTGAGCCGTCATCAAACGGTGTTAATGTCGAAATGATGAAATGAGAAGATGGACAGAATCGATTATTTTTGACTCTGATATTGATCATTAACTAAAATATACAACTTGAAGTAGACTTATTTCTTAATGTTTACAATAAGTGTCAAGCATTACTGTTCCCTATTACTTCTTCTTGAACTATTGTGAAGGGATTAAACTGCGTTGCGTAAAACAATCAAGTGTATTTGTTGAGTGAATTTCGAAAAACTATCATGAATATGATTGTGGATAGACATCAGAAATTTCGTAACCAACTGGAGTGTTATTTTATTAAATACAGACTATCTATTCCACTCACTTCTGTCACTTTATATATCGTGTGACAAAAAGTAACATAAGTACAATAGAAGTTATGGATACGAAAACATTTCCAGATACTTTACAAAATCGTATTTAACATATAAACAACACTGCGGAAACATTGTAAGAGTTGCTCTACTCAGAATTCCATCCTCTCGATTATCTAATTTATAAGTGTTGTAAAGATGTTTTATTTTTATAGAAATTTCATTTAGTTTTACACAATTTCATTGACTTATTTTTTATATATATAGACAGGAAACGCTGGACGTAGGTTTCGGTTTGTTTGGCACTTGTGTGAAAGGTGTATTTGCAATCTCGAGTGACCTGATGCTCTGTGACAGATAAGATGAGGTGTAACTCAGGTTTATAGTAACACTTTACTGACGAGTGTCAAACAACATGAAAGCTACGTCGAGTGTTTTCTGTCTACTACCTCTAATCAACACCTTACATGTGTTGAGATTGGTTGCGTGAGAGTGTTTTGTTGTTTGTTACTATAATCACACATCAGTATAATTTAATGCATTAACTAGTCATCGCATGGACACAGGACATCAGGTTGATATCTTAAAATATTTTAAGGGGCATTAATAAACAGTCAAGTTTCAATCTTTTGACGTTCACTGACGCCATCTCTCGTAGGCGCTCTTTCAGGTTAGATGTATATTCACAATATTCTATTTTAGAAAATCAAATTTTTTACACTCCAACTATACTATACTGATGCATGATCGTATCAATTTCCAATTATACTCTTTCATGTAATTAATTCCAAACTATTTTGTGACTATAACTTTGAAATATTATTGGTTGTAAGCTGTTGACGAAAATCAAACAGTGCTTCGAAGTTATCAATGGTGATCTAGCTTAGATCGACTCGTGAATTCAACTTTTAAGATACTACAATCTCCACATATCCCTATATTGAAAATGATCACGTATGTGCTAGTGACTAGCTTCAAGTTGGGACTGCTGGTGTTCTAGTGATAAGCTCTGATCGTTGGAGTCTAGTTCGTGTCGTGTGGATGCAATTATCCACCTCAGACAATAGATGAAGTGTTGCACAAGATTACGGATCGATTAAAGTGAGACATTAACAGCATTGGATGCCAGCTCACTGGTCTAGAGGTTAGGTGTTTACGAACGATTCCATGGTTCGAGTCCCGTGTTATGGATTATTGGTCAAAACAACGTTTATTTATTGGTTTTAACACATAGATATTGGTACAAGGAGGCACCAAATACATATGCGCCACACATATTTCATTTGATATGTGTAAGGGCTGTGATACTACCCGGGTGCCCAAACCGACGCATGTGGTTTTCTTAGGGGACCATACCCGGAGCCTTTGACCTGAAGGTCTGATCCACAAGGCAGTGGAGCAACGTAAGGAGATGCATTCCCATGGTAGCCGGTGGTCGACGATTGGTTCATTCGCCATTTGTTTCATCAGGATACTGGAGCCCATGTGCACCATTGGTTTGGAATCAGGGTTTTCCAACTCCCCTAGGTGGACTCTCCATGTCCACCAACCCGGGTAAAGCACCGGACATTCGCTTTTCGTCCTCTCAATTTCGTAAACAACACCCCCGCCAGGAGAAGGCAATGAGTAGGACTTCCCTTGCAGAGGCTACATACGCGTGACCATGTGGGAGCATTTCGAGAGGTACAGCGGACTCTTCCCACTCTCGGCCGTACCAGGGCATTTGGGGGTGACTGAATAGTTCCATACTAAAGCCGAATAGTTATTCAATGCTTCTAGGTTTCCAATGATAATCTTGGTTAGATCGATTCATGACTTCAACTATTATTAGAAAATTGTTGATTTTTTTACCACACCATGTAATTTACAATTACTGTATGTTTAATTGCTTAAACGAATATTATTTCCGTCATATTAATCAATAATAATAATCTAATGACTTCATCAACAAAATACACATAAACATCATTAAATCATTAAAAACATAAAATAAATGAACTGAATGTTCTTACCTTTGTAATTTATACCAATGTAGTTTCTTTTAGTTAGAAAATATTATTATTGTAAGTGTAATAGAGTTTTAACTAAATAACAATGATAATGTTCATTTATTTTTACTAGTTCATTATTTATATTAGGATGATCAATATTAGAGTAACTTATTGTATTGTTTAGTATTCATACTTTATCAATATGAGTAGTACAACTACATTTGATTATGTTGAAGTATTGGTGAAACAGATTGAATGGTATTTTTAACTAAATTTATGATTTTCATAGTTTCAATGATGAAACGACCTTAACTAGTTTACTATTGGAAACTTAGAAATACTGAACGGCCGATTTGTCATGTTATGGGACTGCTTAGGAGTGAACACTTATGACTGCAAACGGGAATCGAGCTTAGGACCTTTGATATAGTTCGGGAATATTTGACCTCTATACTATTGAGCTGGCATCTAACGATAAGACCAAAAGCTTTGGGTTAAATTTCGGCCTGTGGGTTTGTGAATAAGACTTAATGAGGTGTTCCATACATGAACGGAATGGTTGTTCATTGCCTTCTGGTCTTTAATGGTGGTCTAGCTAAGATCATTTCGTGGTTTAAACTGAGAAAGTTGTACAAACCTCACAAACCGCTTATACTAACATTTATAATTATTATAACTAATACATTTGTATACGACATAGACATTAAGAAGATAAGTAGTATTTAATTATGAAAAAATCTTAGTGAAAACAAATGTTTCGGGAATTCATTCGGTGTTGTTTGTTTGTATCTTCACATTGTTGTTTAGGACTGCAATTGATCAGTGTCTTGTTGGCATATGCGAAGGTGGATTTGTAGTTTCTTTTCATTCAATATTCAGTGAACAAATAAAGACGAGAGTGAATGTCAACGACTAATTTTCTACTAATAAATCAACAATCATATTGATATTATCAACTGTATTCCATACGGTGTATTTGGATTGCTAGGATTTGCTCATATATGCGGTGTTTTGATCGTTGTCCCTTTTATTATATACAAATAAGTTATGCTGAGTGGTGATCTGTTAAAGCTAATTTATTAATTGTTTCTATTTAATACAATATTATCGCTGATCTGTTCTTCAACATCTTGAGATCCCCTGTGGATTCAGAAACATATTTGAATAGTTGATTGTGCTTGTTTCGCTCTCACATCTAGTCGTCTGAATGTTTTCCTCAAATATACTTCATTACACTCATCAAATTTACTTTTATGCGGACTATTTTTTAATTTTTTTCATTGTTATCATTTCCTTTAGTGTTAGTAATGTGGACTAGATGACTAGAGCAAACATTCAAATTGTTTAATTTCCAGTTATTGAGATTATTTCTAACTGTAGTTTTTTATCGAATAACTTCGACATACCTGATGCTCAATTTCTATCCAAACTTTCAAATTTTGACGAATGTTCACACAAAATTGTTAGGAAGTTTTTCTGAGACAGTAAATAGATCTCTATATGAGTCATGTATTTTAATGAGTGCCGTAAATATTGGTCGACTGATCGGAGGCCATAACCTTGAGATTTTTTGCGTTGATGAAACTCGCAGATGTTTATATTTTTTAGTGTGTTGCAACTGACAACTCACTATCCGGATTTTTAATAATAACGAGGAGTTGAGAATATCATTTGTGCATGCATCATTAGTGAAGCATGGAAGATTCTAATTTCCGACAATTCATTGATATTTTGAATAAAAAGAGAACAACCATGCTTTCATGAAGTTAGGGTTACTATGAAGTGACCTCCGTTTGAGTATTTATTGGATAAAGTATTATTAACATCCAAAAGTTTCTTAATGTAGCAAGCTATAATTGCCTTCAAACTAATAATCTGCAGTTTTTATGAGGGAATCAACTGGCTCGTTTCAATAAATTAACCGAAAATTTGTTCATTAATATGTATACTCTAGCACATAAATAGTTTTGCAAACAATTCCATACACTTGAGTATCAACAAAGCAATTGAGACATAGGTATTCATATATCACTTACATAGATAACAAATATCGAAATTATTAATGTACCAGTATGGTGTATGCTACTTAAGTTGACAGACATTAGCAGGATGTAACACCAATCTGAAGTGGAAAACCTGGCAGTAGAAGGCTATGAAAGTCGAATTGAAGAAAAGAGAAATAAAATTAGAAAGGAATTATGAATTTTAAAAATCACATAGAATGTGAAAGGCAAGTGATGGAAATTTACAAGTGGAGCATTCAATGTATCATTCTTATATTTTACCAAGATACTGTGTAATTTCGTATTAAAATACATTCGGTCATTCTCGCCCGAGTTTTCATTCATTACATCGTGAAGTTTCACTTAGTTTAAAGACAACTTACGTCACCAAGAGTAGTAGTAGTAGTAGCATTGTAGTGAACACGAACACGAGTGGGGACAAACGAATGTATTTAACGCACAATTACAGGACTTGTTAATAAAATCTAACAATCATAAAGTAAATGCTTAATTTGCAAAATGTCCATCAATTGTATCAAAATGACTCAGACTTCATTGTTCTTGGACTTTCACACAAATTGCATTCTCTTTCCATTCTTTACTATTCGATCCTCTTGTCTCTCCGTTGTCAGACATTCTGTTCACGACTAACGTCATATGCTACTTATGTCGATATAAGTAGCACACAACACAGTAGTAGTAGTAGTAGTAGTAGTGGTAGTAGTAGTAGTAGTAGTAGTAGTAGTAGTAATAGTAATGTTAATTATATCATTATACCATAATGAACAGTTAGGAAATATGTTAAAAAAAGTGCTTATTCAAACTTTATATTCAATTATTGATTTGTGTTATCAAATTGATTATGATTTATTGAACTACTATTACGTCCGTCAATATACTATCTCAATTATTTCTAAGTTACCATTGATTTTAAAAAGCCGTCTCTCTGCTCACATTTTCAAGTCACTTAGCCGGTTGGTGGCAGTTCGTTGCAGGATATCGAAAGAAATAACAAGATTAAAGTTTCTGTTACGTTGCTTGAATGATGGCTGCTTTCCTCGTCATATTATTAAAGCTGTCCGTGTTTGTAAATTACCTCCTTCCTTAAAAAATCTTCGACGCGTCACAAAATCCCAAATTGAATGTACCAAGGAACTTATCTCCAAACTTAAAACAGAATCACTCGGTTATGACAAAATTATTATGGATTTAAACATTGTATGTAGAATCAAACTCATGGATTTCATTCACGATGTTCAGTCCAAAACCAGTCATAAATTCCTAAAGACATTAACCAAAACACTTGTGAAAGAACAAAAACAAAACGCCTTTTCTAAGAACCCAGCAAAATACGTACAGAATTTATCCAGTAAAAAACTAACTCGAATTGAAACTGAAGCACTCTCCCTTGGATTTAAATTTCACATTCCGAAAAAATGCAACAGAATAGACACTGAAACCCAGTTTGAGTATTTATATCAACAGTTGTCAGAGCTGAAACCCATGAACGATGAAAAACATAGTTGGTTGAAATCGAAACTAGTTGACATTACAAACCAGTACATAACGACACCAACCCCACAATCGAAAGTGTTGACTAAAGATCACCAACTAGCTTTAAAAAACTTGTGAAAGATGAAACAATAATGCTACTTCGTCCAGATAAGGGTTCCGGTGTAGTCGTTATTAACAGAGATGAATACATTAGCAAAATAATGTCTACTTTAAATGATTCCACTAGATTTATCATCGATAATACCCAGAAAGATTTAACAGAGAGGACAGAGAAGCGACTTGTAAATAAATTGAGAGATCTCCTAAAGAAAAATCTAATAGATAATCATACATACAATGAACTTAAACCTAAAGGATCACAATTACCGTACTTATACGGCCTACCCAAAACTCACAAGCCCAATATCCCGATTAGACCAATATTATCCATGGCTAATTCGCCTTTCCATAAACTCGCCCGCTGGCTGACAAAGTGCCTTGAACCAATCCGAAAGAAACTAACACCTTACAGTCTAAAAGATAGTTTTGAATTTGTACAAAAACTCGACAACCTAAATGTTTCCGACAAATTTATGGTTTCATTTGACGTCTCATCGCTCTTCACAAACATCCCCTTGGAAGAAACGATAGAGATCATATGTGATTATCCTGAACTTCTACCCCTACCAATCCATGATTTTAAACAGCTCCTCTTTCTGTGTACAAAAAACATACAATTTCAATTCAATAATGTCCTTTACCGCCAAATCGATGGAGTTGCCATGGGTAGCCCATTGGGCCCAATTCTTGCCGATATATTTATGGGAAACCTAGAACAAAAAAAGCTTAAGCACGCAATCGATGGTACTACGCTGTATTGCAGATATATTGATGACACATTCCTCGTCTGCAACAATCACGAACACGCCATTAAGCTACTCGATCTATTTATAAAGCACACGAGGACATAGAGTTTACTATGGAACAAGAAGCTGAAGACAAATTCCATTTCCTTGATGTTGGGATCCGACGAACATCTGATGGTAAATTACATAGACATATTCACCATAAAAATACCTGGAGTGGTCTATATCTCAATTACCACAGTTTCTGCCCAATGAGTTACAAAAAGGGTATTGTACGAACCCTTTTTGACCGCGCTCAAAAAATCTGTTCAAAAGAATACCTTGATGATGAAATTAATCTGATTACTAATGTTCTACGTGATAATGAATACCCATTGAAATTTATCCAGAAATATGCAAAAAGCAATCCTCGTACAAAATACGATGGAGTAGAAAGGAAAACCTGCTTCTTACACTTACGTTTCAAAGGTGATGAAATTGCTGGAATAAATAATCACAGAATAAACTCTGCGTTGAAAGTCACCTACCCAGCAGCAAAACTTATGACAGTATGGCAAACGAACTGCTCACTTCAACAAACCAAAATCGACAAGCCTTCTTTTCTTAGTAGCTCCAACTGCATCTACCAATTCACATGTACGTGCCAAAGCACATACATTGGAAGAACTGAGAGAAGAGTGCATGTCCGCATGTCTGATCATGTTCCGGAAAACTTGAGGCTGCGAGGGAATAAGGCTTTCAATAGCGCAATAGCTCGACATCTACTTGACACCGGGCACACCATCGACATTCCGCATGCTTTCAAAATTATCAATAGACAAAGAAGTACGACCACCTTCCGTTTTACTGAAGCCATCATGATCAATAAACTTAAACCTGACTTATGCATCCAAAAAAAGACTTTAATTAACTTATCACTACCCTGGTAACCCTTTTTTATTTTATTATTTATCTATTTATTTTTAAATATTTATACTCCTCCCCTATTACATAATTCTTAAACCACATTATTATTCACACATTTCCACCACCTGATCCTCTTAAATTATCTTAACTTTTCAAATCCTATTTAATTATTATTACGTAACCTATCTTATGATTATTCAATTCCATTATTACACCACCCAACCTGAATTAATTCCTTTTGACCTCTGACCTATATATATAGTTATTATTATAACCCAGTTATTTACACTCATCTATGTCAATTGTTTTCACTCTCAATGTAAAAATTCTATCACATTTTTTGGTTTGTAAGCAGCTGACGAGAAACCTCGAAATAATATGAATTCATACTATTCTGCACCAATATTTGTTCTTGTTTTATTTAGATTAACATAGTACCTTACTTAGTTTAATATTTTGCTTATATATATCACTGTATATTGGAGCGAATTCCTCTGAAGTTGTAATTGAAAAACAGTATTGTTCTTTTATGTTTGCTATTTTAATTCACAAGATAGAAATTACCAATCAATCTAAATGATACTTTTAAATGGTTAGTTAGAATTGAATTCAATCAACCTATAAAAGTAATAAAAAGTATTAGAATGAATAATTTAATTAGATTATATATATTGCCAATTATAATATCATGTCACTCATTAATTTATCATTAATGACAACTGTCCAAGAAGATAAAATACAAAAACAAAAAGAGAGAACTACATCAAAGATATTTCTTGTTCACCGCTTCTTTCGTTTGAAAACAGAAGAAGAAGAAGAATCTTATTTTTATAATACAAAATATGTTTATTATGTAATATATAAGTGATTGGAAGATATACAGTCAAATAAGTACGACATATTTGTATTCTCAAATGTTCAACTATCCACTCAATAATTAGTTGTATTGTTGTTGTTTTTTAATATAATTGACATGTGTATGTACATATGTATGTATATAAATATAAGATTGAGTAATTCTATAGTTTATTCACTTAAGTGGTTATCATTTTAACTTATTTGTAAACGATAGAATGGTGGACGAACAACTGAATCATGATGCATTGAATGAACATAATCGGTAAGATGAGATTTTCTTTATTGTTCAAATTTAACTATTTATATTATTGTATTAACTTACTATAAAGTATAGTTAATTAACTTAGTTTATTTATATAAAAAAGGATTGAGGATGGGTTAGATAGTATAGATCAAACGTCTTACACCTAAAAGAAACATTCATGGTGTACTTCCTGATTTGTTTTTTTTTTTTTGTTTTCAGTTATTTAGTTATACTTAGTTCATTATGTAAACTGTTTTGAGTTTATTTAGTCTGTGTAATTTCATGTTATGTATAGTTGACTGAAAATGTGTATTTATATTTGGGTTTGTATATATGGATAATGTTCAAACTATGTTTTGACCAAGAGACTTTACTAATAAATACTAAATCTGGTGGAGTTTTGTTCTCTGAGCTGGATAGTTTGGTCATGGAGCTTTCATTGTTCTTCTGAACTACATCATCAGCACAAACTTCAGGTGGAAGTGAAGTGTTCGAATTTCTCCATATGTGTTTCACTACTTGTTCTGTGCACCTCGATGTTGATTGGTTTTTTTACCTTAAATTCGTCATTGTTTACTTCTTTGTTTTGGTTGTGTCTCCCATTGTTTTGATTTTTGTTCCTCTATTTGTGCATGATTTTTCTGATTGGTTGGTAAATTGGATTGATTTCAATATGCTTGTTGATTGCTGATTGATCCAGCTCAGAGAACAAAACTCCACCAAAATCATCCACCTGAGCTACAAATCTTCACTATCTCAAAATACTGATTCAAATGACAATTTCTTTCACAGAATATATATATATATATATATATATATATATATATATATATGTTTTCAAGTTGTATTATCCTATGACTGATATTGAGAAATGTATTTTTATTGTTCTTTACTGTCATTTTGTACATTCTGAACAAATTGCTTGAATATATTCTATTAGTTGGACACTTTTAGTGTATCTGTAGTTCGGTTAATAGTAAGATCTATACTGTTTAATGATTGTTATTTTGATTTACCGGGATTCTATTTTTAATGCTTATATTAAGATAAGTACTAGGTTTGAGTCTCAATAAAAATATAAACACTGATACAATGATACAGTCATCTGATAAGTTCTATGTAGGATGAAATGCAAATCTTTTATTCCATTGTTAGCCGCAATGTAAATTCATTAAACTATTTATAGGTAGTTTAAAACGAAAGACCACATACTTAATAGCTGTTAAATAAAGGTAATTTTTTTCCATAATTTGTTGGGTTTTGGAATTAAAAATGATCTCATTGATTAAAATAATAGAAGTCTTCATGACAGACATAATATAGTTGTAGCATTCTAATGAATACAAAACTGAATTCATGGCTTTTTAAACTCTCTTAGTCATAGCAGCTATTTAGTTCATATGAAGCAAACTTACAGGAGCTATCATCAAATCAATAGGAATTTATTTTCAAAATAAGAATTTATGGAGATTGTAGTATTTTAACAGTTGAATTCATGAATTAGTTTAAGTAAGACCATCAGTGAAAACTTGAAAGCACCTTATAGCCGTATCGTTCCAGCACGAGATTCTTCAGTAGTGTGTGTGCACATTCCCGCATTAATGATCACTTCTGAGATAGATTTTGAGGATTTGTGGCTATGTATTTATATAAAGAGTTATTCATACTGATAGTCAGATAATTATCATTGGTGGAATTGATAGATTGTAATTCTATGTCACTAATTAAATGAAATCTAATCAATCAAACATTGAATTAAAACTGTAAAGTTTAAGGATCTTAAACTAAGCTCGAGACTTAAATATTCGGATTTCAATCTGATGTAAGAATATCAATTTGAAAAGCTGAGAATTCAAAGGGTAGAAAGAAATCGCTGCTCAGTAATCCTAAATTAGATGATTAGAAACACATTTATACTATAAAATACTGTATCAATCATGCATAACACAACTGTTCATTATATCCTAAGTAAAATCTTTTTATAGTTCTCTTTAATTTGTTATTATCTGTCAACATTGTCTAATGAAATTATTTAGTTTTCCCATACTGTTTTAATGAATAATTCTATTTAATTTAAATACATGACACTTATGAATCACCTTGACCAAAATGACATGGTATTGATTTGTTCACCTCTGGTTTTTTTCTTTTGATTGATCGCACATAATATATTCTTGTGTTGTTCCTCTGTACTATTTAAACTTGGATTAAATTTGATTTGGTTATTTATCTCTGAAGAGTGGACTACACCAGTCACGAAACGTCAGAAGATCTAATTTTTTTTGGTTGGGACATAATAAATATATTAATTTATTCATATCTGTTTAACTACTGTTTAAAGATTAACGGAATAATATGAAAAGAATCATTTCCTAGTATTTCTATTTAAAATAATTAGTGTCTTTTGTGTGGATTGTCATAATTTCCAATACATCAAGCATATTAAATATCAGATTACAGTTTATTTTAAAATAAACTGATATCAAGAAAACAAGAAAAAAGTTGACAATCATGAACTACAAGATTCCAAGTTTAATTAGTGGTTGTAAATTTTTAAGTTGATCATAGTTTGATTGTATTGCTCATAGTAACAGTAATAGATTGATTATTTCATATCTTGAGTGCTGTTAGAGTTATGAGGGCGGTTATCACTTCCCGGTTCCCCACACCGTGGAAGGGTTCTTCTGGAGGTACCTGAAAAGGAAATTGGATTAGAGGTGGTCTTAGTAACCTGAGAGCGTGGCCGCAGTGCCCAAGGGACAACTACTTGAGGTCGGTCACATACGACCCTTTTACGAGTAATTTTTGTGTTAGCTCCGTACTTGTTGAGAGCTTACCGCCGGAGACGGGTATCCGTGGGATAAGGCGAGGTGTGCATTTTTGGGGTCAACCTTTTCTAACCCCACCCCTCGTCGTGGGAAGGCAGCATCGTTGTCATGCCGGTTGTCTGAAGGAAACACCTTACTGCTGTCACACCTCTGTACAGTCAACAGCACGACTTCGCCTTCGGACCTTGGGTCTGTTGCTTTTAGTCTTACCGCCCTTCAACAGACCTGTCTGACATGGTAGGACCTTGAGGAACGGTTGTTTCAGCCAGTATAGCTCGGTTGCTTCATCACGATAGGCAAGCCCGACCATCACGTCAAGATAGCAACAACGGTCGGGTATAATTGTATTTTATTATGCATAATGTAATATGATAATATAATTACAAAAATGAGTTAAATGTTCCACAGTTTTAGATTGTCTACTCTATCTCTCTTTCTCTCTTTGTTTTTTCATTGAGAACCTTTCATTGATTTTTTCTTTAATGTAACATGATAGAATTTCATTTTATATGATTCTGTGCATAATTCATATAAAATAATTAACAAAGTGTTTTACATATAAAAATGTATGTATCATATTAAATGAATTTAATTTCTTATAAGATTCTGTCAAATGGAATAAACTAAACTTTCAAAGTTAAAGTATTTTATTGATTTCGAGTCGTTATTTAATGAAAATAACGTTGTTTGAATAACAAATTGATTAGTTAACAGATAGGTTAAGTGTCCATGAATTTGTAGTGTATACCTTCTCAATGTTCAGTTTGTGTTGGATATCAAGCATTCCATGGTTGTTCTTTTTCGTTTAATTAATGAGTGAGAGCCGCATATGAAAGCATAAGTTTCACTGTAAATTTCATCTTAAGCTCTAATTTTCCCTTCATTTGGTGTTTTCATCTGGTAGGTTGGTAGTGTTCAGTGTGTTCATGGAAGAAATATATAAATAGCTTTAGATAATTGAGATAACAGACTTAATGGAAATCTTACTTTTTTGCTAGATATTGATTATCACCGTAATCATAGGGTTGGGAAGATTGGCCAATTTTATTAGGACCAATAATGTTAGGTATGAGGTAGGTACCCACAGAAGACAGTGGAAGATTCCCCCCCTCCAGTATCACGAATTGATTGAACTTAGACTTGTGCACAAGTGAATCCCAACTTAGATGTCTAGAGGTCAAGTGTTCGCACACAATACCAAAGGTCCTAGGCCGGGCTCCCGGTTGTTGGGTCATAGATGCGTACTGTTAAGGAGCCCAATACTAGTAAGAAAAAGCTCCTTTTCCAGTTCTTCCTGATTCTCAGTGGTTGTCTAACTTTGGTCGATTCATGATGTCGATAAATCTTTACACCGGAATAATAAATAAAAGATTACCATTTCATCATAAACTTTTTAAATGATATTTAATTATATGTGCTTGAAAATTATCATCAATATTGTAAGTGACAAAACCGACCGAATATAAGGGTTGTATAATAATTCATTTCAACAGTATATCATATATGAATTTGACTGATTTCAGTTAATTTATTATGAAATACAAAGCATTAAACTCTGTAGATGAATTGAATTTTTATGAAATGAATATAGTTAATAGTTATAGACATTATCACAACTATATATTTAAAAGTCACTTTGTGAATACTTCAATGTATATTCAGTGTAGAACAACAAGTCTCTTTTCTGATTAACTAAAGTAAGATCTTGATTTTTCTCTTCAATAAAATTTAATCTATTCAAATCCAGTTCTGTGAAACTAATAGACAACATATACGAATATTTGTCAGGATTAGAACAAATAGTTTGACAGAAATTGGGCACCTAGTAAAAGAAGTCATTATATGATGAATTTTGATTATTAACCTGAAGAAGTCCAGACAAGTTAGATGGACGAAACGTTGGAATTATTTAAATTTCAATCGTTGAGATTATTTCAAATATAATTTTCACATATAATAATAGACAACTGTCTATCACTTAATATATAATCTATGTAAATTTCAAATAGCTTACTTTGTAGAAAGTAATTTTATGAGCTCTTTTATTTACAATGAAAGTATATATATACTTTGTTTACATGATAATAAGAAATCCTATATTGTTTATTTCTTATACATTCAGATTACGTGCATTACATGGATGTCCTCCATTGAAATATGATTCAAGACTTGCTAGAGAAGCACAAGCTTGGGCTGATAATCTTGCACGTATGAAAATTATGAAACATAGTATATGTGATGAATATGGTGAAAATTTGGCAACATCACAATCTACTGGGAAAGCGGAATTGACCGGTTGGTTATAGTGTTTCGTTTAATTTATTTACTGAATCTTAATTGAATTAATAATAATAATAATATTAATTTATATTCTGAAAATAATAATTACAGAATTCACGCTAGTTTACAGGTATTATTAATTTGATATAAATAGTAACATTAGATGTACAGAACAAACATGTGATAAAGAAAGTTTTAAGTATACTAGTTCAGTAGTTGTTTAGGTAGTACATGTATTACAGCGATCCAATGCACCAGCTGGGAATTTTTAATATTTCTTAAATGGACAGCCCGTTGATTTATGAACGGAGTAATTAAGGTCATTTCGTGTGCCAGATCGAATTAATGATAATTATCTACAACTAGAGAAATTAAAACGGAAACAGAGAGCACGGAACAACAAAGTAGTAATTACCAAAATATATCGACCAGGTCTACCTAAATACGTGTCTCATGTGACACAGTGATATACTTTTCATGTTATTCAAATTAGTTAAACTTGCTAGGGACGGGGTTACCATAAAGTGACAGCAAGTGGTGGTTTTACTTAGGGAATGCACTAATAAAGATGGCTAAACATTTAAAGTTCCTATAATATCACTTGTGGAATGAGATACACTTACAGATGCTAGAACATTCAATGTATTTTCAAAGGAGCAGTATGCATCGATGCAGCGAACAAATAATGGGAGTGATTTTATCGTACGGATAGATTGTGGTAGGTTATTCCAGAGTCTAAAAAATTTGAAATAAATACAATATTTTATTTCAATATACTGGCTAGATTTCTTTTAAAAGATAGGTTGTAAAACACAATGAGTTCTTCATGTTGTTTAATGAAAATGATACTAGAAAAAAAATGCTTAGTTTGAATTATTTAAACCGTTGGTTTCTATGGATATTTATAATTTATCGAAATCATGAGTCTATAGAAGTTAGACAATTATTGTAAACCTTGAAGTATAAGATGACTGTTTCATACTAGTATGAAACTTCTTAGCAGTGCTTATCATGACCTTGTAACCGGAAATAGAAAACAGAACTTTGGTCTCACATGCAAACAATCTAGCCCTTAGACAATTATTAGCCCTGATAAGTAATTCCATACTAGGATGAAACGGCCACCCAGTGTTTCCAGATTTCTAATGTTTGTCTAACGGATCGATTCGTGATTTTAATGAAATCCAACAATTTTCAGAGCCCCATACTGACATTTATATTTTAAGTGATTTATACTACTTGGTAAGAAAGAAACTAATGTTTTACCATTGCCATACTAGTTGAGTTATTATTCTGTAAGACGCATTTTTTCTATTACTTCAAATGAATAGCGTTGAAATACCACAGAAATGTGTTGAAAAATCAAATGTTAGCTAATATTAAATGAAATCGATCATGTTCTTCAATGAAGTAAGGACAATGGGTTAGTGGTGTCTATATCTTGTTAGATTAACCTTTAATATATGTGATCTTGAGGATTAGAAAGTTTAGACAATTACTCAATATTGACTTTATTTTAATGGTAATGATCTGATGAACATTAACTTATGCTAACGGCAACTGAAATTAGTAATCGAGATAAATGTTGAGGTAGTCACCTTACGTGACTGTATTTCATCTTAAAATATAAAAGTGTTCAATATTTGGGCTTTTTAATAATGTTTTTTTTAAAAATTATATCCGCAGATCAATAATTAGTTTTCCTGTATGATTCACTATCTTCGTTTAAACTTTTATTTTATTGCACAATAATTTACGGGTTCTTCAATATGTTGAAGGTTGATTAAAACTGTTTTGTTCTAATCATCTTATATCTACGAGATTTAAAATTGATTTTCTTATTTGGCTATACTTTTTAGTCTCTGTAACTCTACTACCATGATTGATATTATTTCTGACCAATTAGAGTACACATAGTAATTTGTGCTTCTCTGGAGTCAGAAATATCAGGTTTATTATTGCACGAGTTTTGAGTTATGATAGATTATAGAACAGTAGGGAATTGATTTGATCTCTATCACTAAATTTGATTGGACCTCAGGTTAGAAACAACTTGAAGATCAATAAGCATTGAGGACTTTTTGTTGTTTATTGGTTGGTATTTCAATTGGTAAGTCGAAGGTTATCCATCCCACTGACGATATGGGTGAGCTAAACTGATAATCAGGCTTACAAAAGGTCATAAAACTACTCTCCTTTAATAACTGTCTGATTTCACATGCTCAGATATAATATCAACAGTTTGTTTTTTCCATTACATCAGATGGTTTCTGTTCCATTAATAAATTGACTGAAACAGTAAACATCTTGGTTAGAAATTGATATGTGATATTTCTTTGACATTTTGTCATTCGAAGGCCTAAAAGCGTCGTTATACTTTTTATAAAAAATTAATTGGTACTTTTCTGTGTCGATATTGATAGATAAATATTTGAAAATTATAGTAATCTTAAACTGGATAAACTTTATAGGAATTGATGACTAGAGTATGATATAATTGTTTGCAGACGAATGACTAGAATCTTTTTAAAGTGTAAAATTTCTTTCATTTAATGATGATACTATTTCAGGAACAAATATATAACAAAGAGGGGTTTTGTGGATGTTATAGTAATTCAATAGTTGATTTCATGAGTCAATTGAAGCTATAACACCATGGAAACCTGAAAGCACTGGATGGCCGTTTTGTCCTATTATGGGACTCCTCAACAGTGCTCATCCAAGACTCTGCTTCATGAGATTCGAACTCAGGACCGTCGGTCTCGTGCGCGAACGCTTAACCTTCAGACTAGTGAGCCGGCATCCAACGATGTTAATGTCTAATTTCAACCAACCCACGAAATCGCGCGACCGTCAACCATTGTCTTCAGTGAGTTACTATCTCACAACAGACCCGGTTGAACACAACTGGTCACGGCATCTCACTAGAACTCCAGGAAAAACCTTTTGGAGACCCTCACTAGTGAGCATATATTGATTAGTATCAGAAAAATTTCGTAGATATTATAGTAATCCGAGAATTGAATTTTATATAGGATGTAGAATTACGCTATTAAGAAGGAATCGGGTTATCTCATTTTTTGTTCGCACATATTATTTCTTTCTTTAGAGAATTATTTCGATGACATTTCCATAATTTACATTTCCGTAATAACATTGGCTAATACCTGTTTAGTTGTCATCGTTTTCAGTTTGTTAACTATCTTCTACACACTGCTAATACAAAAATCGAGTTGTTCCTTTACGAATTTTATATCTGTACAAAATATAAATTTGTTATCTATTAGTGTGTGAAGTATTAAGGTTGGAGTGTTGTCACGTCCGGTTTATTTGAGTTCGCATACTTGACGTTGTATGACAATAATCTCCAGTTGTTCTTTAATAGAATGTACCAAAACCTAACCAGAAATCCCAGTACCTCAATTACACTTATGAGATAAGAAAAATACTATAATAAAACTATTCATTATCAAATCTAATGTATAACAAATGAATTCCAATCTTTGAACCTTATTCAATCTATATGTTATATGGTTTAGTTTTTGTAATTGCATGAGTTTTATCAAATTGTCTAACAACAAAGTCAAACTCTTCCATAAACAAAATTAATCAATATAAAATACATGTTGGAAACAAAGGCTTTACATAAATACCAGGAACTATAGAGATGTTTCTATTTTTGTGAACGTTTAAATATCATTTCAAGGGGTGTTTTGAAATGAAATGAAACGAAATATGAACATAAACCATAAAATTGTTACATAATTTTCTTGGTTAGAGAATATAATCCAAATTTGTTTCTTTGAATAATTAATTCAATAAAGTTATCTCGGTGTAAGAGTAATATCTCTTGACTTATTTATACCTAACCAATCTGTAATTTTAAAAATCAACTTTGTTTTGTTTTATAGGGTCTCGAGCAACACAAAACTGGTACAATGAAATTCATGATCACAATTTTGATAAACAGTTTCAAAGTCAAACAGGTAAGAATAATCATATATGACAACCAATGTTTTATGTTTATCCGTGTTAAGCAAACTAACAGCAATCCGTGGTTTAAACCTTGAAAATTTAACGATTTCCACAAAACTTTCATACTACTAACAATATTCATGTGCTCACTAATGACTAACATCAATAGGTAATTGCAAAGGTTTGTAATGAGAGGCCATGATTAAGGGAGTTCAACCATGTCAGATGTGATACAGTTGTCCACAAATGGTAATGTGAGATTCTCGAGCAATACTGTCAGCCAACATCATTAGATGTCGGGTCAGCGTTCTAAAAGATAAACGTCAACTCAATTCAGGAAGGAGTGATCTATTCAAATTTGTCCATATATGACTGACGGATTGTGGTCAGAAGGACTAGCTGTCAGTCATCTGTGAAGAAATTGGAATGGATCGCAGCAACCAGAAATTCGCGTTGATGAGTTTGTTCAGAAGAACAATAAAGACATCATGATTAAACGATCCTGCTCAAAAAACGAAACTCCACTGAAAAAAAGAATCTGTTTAACGGATTGCCGACAGATATTGATTATCTAAGAAATATGTGTCGAAAATTTATAGGATTGACCAACGAACGTATGCACATTGATTAGGAAATTGTCAAAAGCTTCCAAAACTCATTGGTTAACCACCCTTCAATAATTTAATAATGACTGACATGAGGAGTAAATTCTCAGGGTTCTTATAAAAAATCTTGACTAGTAAAGTTCAAATATGGTGGATGTGATGCATTAAAAGAGATTAAAAGATACTTGGACCATATCACGAATTGATTGAACTAGACATTAAAACGATTGAATGACGATCCGTTGACCATTTGTCAATCTCTACCTTTAGATCTGAACATCCAAAGTTCGACTTCCGGGGGGGAGCTGGATATTCCTTACAGAAAGATCCCATACAAGAAAAAATATCTGTTCAGTGCTTCTCAGTTGTCTAGTCGAAATCAATTAGTGATACGAATTATAAAGTTTAACAACGATCACAAAATTCTTATGGTTAAGATAACATTTGTTTCTAACTATTTACGCCAAACTGACAGTTCCGAAGTTTTAAAAAATTTCGTGCATTCAACCTAAATTGTTTCATGAATTAGTTTATTAACTTAGATCTAATGAATTTATTCTTTTCTTATCTGTAACTGGCTTTAATTTAATTTCCTAAATAAAGCCTTTTGTCTTCTAATGACTTAATAAATGTCAATGAATTCATTTGATCATTAATTGATTCCTAATATCATCGTATTATAAGCGATCTATGTGTCTCACATGGTCATTGACTTGTTCAAGGTCAACCACAAATGTGATAAAACATCAAAAGTATTATTGTATAGTTGAAAACTTACATTTTTAGAATAATGATCCAAACGGAAAAAACAAACATTCCGTAAACTAACTTATTTACTTTCAGTGATTGAGATCATGAGTCAATTGAAGCTAGATCACCATGGAAAACTTATTTACATTATTTCATAGATATGTTATTTTCAATGAATTTTCTGATTTAATAAATAACCTTTTAAACAAATTAGTTTGACAGCTGGGCTTTATCTGTTCATCAAATATCATAAGCCATCTTTTCTCAAATTGGTTATATAGCGAACGAGAACACAAGTGAGGCCAATCCAGTATATTTGAATGAAGAAATACAGGATATCATAGTAAAATCTGAGGACTAGACAAAAAATAGTTCATTTGCAAAATGTCAACCAAGTGTCTCAGACTTCAATATTCCTTTATTTATGCACTGTTCTCTTCCTCTTTTCTTCAATCTTATTCACCTTCTGCAACATAACTTTAGTCGATATCTATATAATCCTAATCAATGACGATGGATGCTAACGCAAAAGTTACATATATGAATACATAGATATACTGACCACACAACAAAATAAGAAATACCATGTGTGCCAAAATTAGCACTTACTTACTTACTTATGCCTGTTACTCCCAATGGAGCATAGGCCGCCGACCAGCATTCTCCAACCCACTATGTCCTGGGCCTTCTTTTCTAGTTCCATCCAATTCTTGTTCATTTTCCTCATGTCTATTTCCATTTACCGGCGTAATGTGTTCTTTGGTCTTCCTCTTTTCCTTTGGCCTTGAAGATTCCATGTGAGGGCTTGCCTTGTGACGCAGTCGGGTGCTTTCCTCAATTGTGTCCTATTCACTTCCAGCGCTTCTTCCTGATTTCCTCCTCCGCTGAGATCTGGTTTGTTCTTTCCCACAGTTGGTTGTTGCTAATAGTGTCTGGCCAATAGACCTGAAGTATTTTGCGTATGCAACTGTTAATAGACACTTGTATTTTGTGGATGATGGTTTTCGTAGTTCTCCAGGTTTCCGCCCCATACAGTAGAACTGTCTTGACATTTGTATTGAAAATCCTGACCTTGGTGTTGGTTGACAGTTGTTTTAAGTTCCAGATGTTCCTCAGTTGTATCAAGCTCATGGTTACATTACTATTGGATTAGAATAAAATATAGTAACTGTCTATAAATCAAACAAAAACTTAAGATTAAGGAAGTAAATGAAAACGAATAATCTAACTGTTCATAATGATAAATTTTAAAAAATTCTAGTTATAACCATATGAAACCAAATTATAAAACTAATAATTAACTAAATTCGTTAAAATTTTATTAAAGAAATGCACATAATGATTATTTTACTTCTTCTCACTAATATCAGGTCATTTTACGCAGGTTATTTGGAAGAATACATCAAAAGCAGGATTTGGCATTCAATATTCAAATGATGGACATCATGTTTTTGTAGTAGGACGTTATGAACCAGCTGGGAATGTATATGGTGAATTTCAAGAAAATGTACCTCGACCTATCCATGGACAGTCAACTCGTAAGTGATCCTTAGAAATTACAAGATTAGTTAGTGAATATTAATTGCGGTACAGACAGATGACACTGAAATCATTCAGGAGAAGTGAGAGTTAAAGTTTACTACAGTACTGAAGTAATTATTTTCAAATTAGTAATTTCAAGATTTTATAGTAAAGTGTAAATAGTAATAATGACCATTACCTAACAAATTTGAAACTGTCTACAATACGATTGCTTTTAGTAATCAAAATTACTATATCCGGAAGACAATAAGTGAATAGTAACAGTTAGGAATTACATATGGACTAATATTATACGGATATTCTAATTGTTTGGCTATTCAATAACTATATATATATATATTCATATTCCTCTTATTATAAGCTTTTATTTGACTAATTGACTGTTATCGTACGATTTACTATTCTTGAGATATTCCCAGTTTATTAGAAATGGTCTACCACAATCACAGCCACATTTTAGCTTGATCTTGTATAAGTGTTATTTTCTATTTTATAATATGATGCGGTCTGGTTTGTTTGTATATAAACCCAGTATGTCTGAAATATATGTCGCGGGAGCTGATATTGGCATCCTGGACTCAACCGTTTGGGTTTGGTGAGAGGCTAGATCAATAGGAATTCTAGGCTGCTCGTATAGATTCATGAGTGATTAGTCTGATCGTATAAGTCGATGTCTGTAAATGGTGGTTGTATCACGTGATATAATTAATCGGGCATATGGACGTAACAAAAATATCTTGAATAAACGAAGAACAGTTAATCAAGTATAGAGTATCAAATTTTTATCACCATAGCAACGAGTCAAAATGAAACAAATCTTTTATGTAGTTCCGTCTACTAAAAATTCATTAATTTCTAAAAAAAAAGTAAAACAGCGGTTATAAAATTTAGAAAAAGAAATACAATTTGTTAGCTTTCTTATCTACCGATTCTTCATACTATGTTTCATTTATTCACTAAGAAAAATAAACACTATCATGGTTACTCCAAACGTCTTTCAAGATTCATTTGATATTGTTTTATTTGAATCTTCTCATTGATGTTTTAGGACTGAAATTGATCAGTCTCTTATTGGCATATGTGCATACTGTGTGTATGCCTCGATATTGCCTTAATTTACAAGCATTTTAAGCAACTCTGAGATGCAGGTAAATCCAGCTGACGAGTCCAAAACAGGACGAAACGCGCGTCTTGGATTCCACTGTTAGCCACTATCCATCTTTGCTTAAAATGCTTGTCTTTCAAGGTTGATAGAATACTCCACCCTCTCTCTTAGAAAACATATAATATGTTAAGTATTCACTTAAAATGTTTTCAGAAATCAGTTTTGAATGATTAAGCAAAAATTCTGATTCAAGAAAAAAAAAGTGTTTTCAATCTAGTTTTATTAGCACAATGAGAAAATTATTTTTTTCTTGTTTTTTTTAAATTGATGGTACATTATTTACAAAACAAAACAAAAAACGTTTATGATTGAAGGTTTAGTGCAGGATCTTACTTCAAAAGAATCACAAAAGTGTTCTGATTGAAATATTAAATGTCATCATCTTAGAATTTTACAAAATGAAATGTGTTTATAACTAAAATTAGTGATGGATTAAATAACATCGATTAAACACTTCATTTAGTATTAAAATTTATAAGTCAATTAAAGCTAAACTTCCATGGAAAAGCTAGAAGCATTAGACGGTCATCTCTTCATAGTATGAGACTTCTCATGAGTGTACATCCACGACGAGTCCCATTCTAGGATGAAACGGCACTCTAGCGTTTCCAGCTTTTCCATGGTGGTCTAGCTTCAACTGACCCATGAATTCAATTTTTAAGTAAATATAATTAATTAAACACTTCATTTTTTTAAACATTGTACATGAATATAAGAAAAGTGATGAGATTATAATTTATGGACGACCTTTGAGAGACTCTGTACTGACCTTGAGAGTATACACCTAATAACTATCACTAAATGAGGATTATAAACCTGTTTGAGGAATTAGGATTAGGATTTACAGTTCATAGTAAAGATTAGGAATTAGATTTAGGAATTTTATCACGAACTGACATTAGCTATAATGGCAAAACTCTATTTAGCTAAATGTATGAATGAATTTCGCGCCAAAATCCAAGACCTGTTATCTCAAATCTGATTGGTTCTCCATGAATTGTAGTCTTACCAAAAAAAATTTCAAAATGTTCAATGTTCAGTATTCAATATTTTAAAAAATCATGTCAAATTGATTAATTTTAAATAACCATTATTTATTACAGCAAAATCCAAAGAATTTTCTTACAAACCTGATGAACAAAATGGTCCAAGAAGAACCTGTCGAGGTAGATTTGATTGTGAAATTAATAATTTTCCATTTGTATAAGTTTTTATCATAGGAAATTAAGATTTAAGTGTATTAAGTGTATAAATCACTCCTATTAATATAAAATTCATATAAATGATATTATAAAATGGTATGACATGAATTAGGACTGTAATGACTTGGCTTCGAAACAATTCATTAAGATTCATTGATCAGTCATTTTAATAACCGTTATCAAATAAATTTTAACGGTGTATAACTTCAGAAGGTAACATAAAGCGCCGATTATAGTCTATTTTATTAGATAGCACATATAGCAAAATTACAAGTACACCAAATGAATTTGGGAAGAAAGACTAATATGCCTGAGTAAGCGAATGCAGAGTCGAATATATGTATATCTCAAAATCATATGAATGTAGCATACGGATATGTTTATGGGAAAGCAAATGATTCATTCAGTAATGTATAAGCGACTAGCATTTACACTAGCGAGATATATAAATGGTTAGGCCTTCACATTTGATCAAGTATACCTATTTATACAAATATAATAGTAATAATATTAGTACAAAGAAATAGACAAATTATTACAGTTTGAATAACACTGTCTGTTAAATAAGTTAGTAAAAGAACCCGACAAAATTGAACGTAAACAAACTTAATTGTTGGAGAGGTGCTGAAGGGCCTCGGTGAAATTCATGATAATTAGCTTGAATCTATCTTAATCCGTATAATGTTTTGATACAAGAATTTGTAAAACCTGAAGTTTTTCTAGTAAATATATAATTTAAATAATGGAAACTACTATTGTTTTTAATACTATCATTACTATTATTACTGTCGTAGTTTCAATCATCATTTTTAAGTTCAATAATCTGATATAAAGATCTATCCTTTAGAATATAAAACGTTCAAGAATGTTTCGTAAAGAGACTTCTATAGTTTAACTATAGTTTAAATTAAATCCTAATCACATCTAGTCAATAATTTGAAACTAGTGTGTACTGAGAATATGTTTAGTCTTCATTTAAAACACTTCGTAAATCACAATTGATTGATCACTGGGTGGTGATCAATGTCATGTGTGTCAAGTCCTTATTAGTGCAGATTGAATGCTATCGACCAAGTTGCAATGTGGCCACCAATCTAGGTGACCTGTCACTGTGTGCACTATGTTGAGATTAGATGGTGGTTGGAGGTAGTCGACAAGAAACCCTGGACTCGGGTTTCGTCCTACACGGCACTCGTCATCAAGGTGTACCTGTAATCTTGAGGGAACTGGTGCTCCCCGACGGATTCGATCCTGTGTTACTCAGCTTCATAGTCAGAGACGTTACCACTGAGTTATCCGGGTGGTGACCCACAACTTTAAACGGGATTAAAAGTTGTACTATAGAAATGAGATAAAACATTTATCCATTATTTTGGTTTTTATTAATTCTTCAGCGATCACTGCTTAATGATAAAAAAAAACATTTTAATCCCAGATTATTTCACAGTCAACTCCTACATTTAGTCACTATAATTAGTTTTCTGCTAATTAATGGAATTTTGTGACGTTATTATATGCACAGTTTAAAGAATTAGCTACTCATTTTGTTTTAGTAGTAGATAGAGATACATACAAATTATTACAACGATTATGAAAGGTTTATATTGAGTTCGACTTTTGAAGTATATTCAAAATGGTGGAAAATCATGTTTTATTTTTAAAGCTTTCGATTGTTAATACTTAAAAAATTACAAAAATGGGGATTTGTGCAGACTGTAGTAATTTAAGTAGTTGAATTCATGAGTCAATCTAATCTAGACCACCGTCGACAACCCGACAGCAATAAACAACCGTTTTTCATCCTAGTAGGAGACTCCTCAGAATTGCTCGACCATGATCCCTTATACGAGACCCAAACCCAGGACATTCAGTCCCACACACGAACGCTTAACCTCTAGATCACTGAGCCGTCATCAAACGGTGTTAATGTCGAAATGATGACATGAGAAAATGGACAGAATCGATTATTTTTGACTCTCTGATATTGATCATTAACTAAAATATACAACTTGAAGTAGACTTATTTCTTAATCTTTACAATAAGTGTCAAGCATTACTGTTCCCTATTACTTCTTCTTGAACTATTGTGAAGGGATTAAACTGCGTTGCGTAAAACAATCAAGTGTATTTGTTGAGTGAATTTCGAAAAACTATCATGAATATGATTGTGGATAGACATCAGAAATTTCGTAACCAACTGGAGTGTGTTATTTTATTAAATACAGACTATCTATTCCACTCACTTCTGTCACTTTATATATCGTGTGACAAAAAGTAACATAAGTACAATAGAAGTTATGGATACGAAAACATTTCCAGATACTTTACAATATCGTATTTAACATATAAACAATACTGCGGAAATATTGTAAGACTTGCTCTACTCAGAATTCCATCCTCTCGATTATCTAATTTATAAGTGTTGTAAAGATGTTTTATTTTTATAGAAATTTCATTTAGTTTTACACAATTTCATTGACTTATTTTTATATATATAGACAGGAAACGCTGGACGTAGGTTTCGGTTTGTTTGGCACTTGTGTGAAAGGTGTATTTGCAATCTCGAGTGACCTGATGCTCTGTGACAGATACGATGAGGTGTAACTCAGGTTTATAGTAACACTTTACTGACGAGTGTCAAACAACATGAAAGCTACGTCGAGTGTTTTCTGTCTACTACCTCTAATCAACACCTTACATGTGTTGAGATTGGTTGCGTGAGAGTGTTTTGTTGTTTGTTACTATAATCACACATCAGTATAATTTAATGCATTACTAGTCATCGCATGGACACAGGACATCAGGTTGATATCTTAAAATATTTTAAGGGGCATTAATAAACAGTCAAGTTTCAGTCTTTTGACGTTCACTGACGCCATCTCTCGTAGGCGCTCTTTCAGGTTAGATGTATATTCACAATATTCTATTTTAAAAAATCAAATTTATTTACACTCCAACTATACTATACTGATGCATGATCGTATCAATTTCCAATTATACTCTTTCATGTAATTAATTCCAAACTATTTTGTGACTATAACTTTGAAATATTATTGGTTGTAAGCTGTTGACGAAAATCAAACAGTGCTTCGAAGTTATCAATGGTGATCTAGCTTAGACCGACTCGTGAATTCAACTTTGAAGATACTACAATCTCCACATATCCCTATATTGAAAATGATCACGTATGTGCTAGTGACTAGCTTCAAGTTGGGACTGCTGGTGTTCTAGTGATAAGCTCTGATCGTTGGAGTCTAGTTCGTGTCGTGTGGATGCAATTATCCACCTCAGACAATAGATGAAGTGTTGCGCAATATCATGAATCGATTGAACTTAAACATTAGCACCACTGGATGCTAGCTCACTGGTCTAAGGGTTGAGCGTTTGTGTGCAAGAATGAAGGTTCTTGGTTCGAATCTTGTATATGTGGATGCACACTGCTGAGTCGTCCCATAATAGGATGGAACGACCATCCAGTGATCTACGTTTTCATTGGTAGTCTTGCTTAGATAGATTCGTGAATTTAACTTTTAAAACAGAATGAATTCCTGATGTTCTGAATGAATATTTGTTCTTGCTTTCTTCGAAACCTATGTGTATTGACTTTGTTATGACTAAAAATTTTGAGAAAAACTGATTGAGATGTATGCTGACAAGTTTATATTGTGCTAAATATACAGTATAGAATAAAATTATTATTATTATTCATTTATAATCTATCTAACGTTTGTTTATATCTGTCAATGATTGAAGTTTACAGTTTAATATGGCAATTCCAAACATTCTTTGATTAGAGTATTTTAATGTGCTGCTATCTGCTAATAATGGTGACAATTCAATTCTTATATGGACACGTTTCAGTAATGTAAATGACCTGCGATTAGATCACCAAGTCCTTAACCATAAATATTGATCGATTAGATGTTATAGTAAATTTTAAAATATTTATTGTCAATTACATCGTTTTGATTTACACTATTGTGACCATAATATACATTTAACATTTAATGTATATACCGGTCATCAGTCATGATGAGTTGAATGAATATCACCTGTCTAAATAATGATAGACGTTCAGTTTCTATTTTTAAAATAATTAAAACTTACATACCTTGAATGGAATGATTGAAGTATATAGAACAGTTGGAAAGTATCTAGCAATAGAATACAGGATGCTCATTTTGTTCTATTTGAGATCCGACAGCTGAATATACCTGGTACCCAGCTGACAATTCCCAAGTAGGAAAAAACATACATTCTAAATGTCAATGCCTGATTCATTCTATCCATTCTACATAAACTTGTGTCATAATGTCTATATCTAGGCAGTTCTCACAGGATGCAAATATATTAACAGAGAGTGATCAAATTTCAGTGAAAAAAACATCAACAACAGGATAATCCTAACCATTTTAAATTGAATTCATTGAGATATATGTTGAAACTATTAATTGCCTTTAGTAGAAATTTGCCAGAATGTTATATGTCTAAAATCATGAAAATTTTGAGCACTTTTATAAAATTTAGATATAAATTATTTATGCTAAAATTGCTTAACCATATATCCACAAAGAAATACCTTAATGTATATAAAAAGTTTATGTCTAAAGTAAAATATCGTGAATTGGATCCTTCATGTCAGTGATTCAAGGTGTAAATCATTTTACTGATCATGATATATTTTGTCTCGTACAGTGTAGAATTTGACAAGTTCCTTATCTCATTCTTGATCATTAATCATTGAGGTTTGATATAAAATATAGAAGAGGGTTATTAGAAAAATAACTATTTTTCGAATACTTAATCAATACAGGTCATTGAATGGAGGCAAATATAGTTTTATTTATTTTTTGTTCAACCAGATTTATTCTTTCAGGTATCACTTCTTATAGTGGATGTATTAGAAATTCATTTGAAATAAGCTACTTTTCTTTACTTTAATCATCTATTAAAGGGGGTTTTGTGGAGATTGTAGTAATTTAGACAGTTGAGATCATGAGTCAATTGATGGATCGTGGATGCGCACTGCTGAGGAGTCCCACAAAAGGACGAAACGGCCATTCAATGCTTCCAGGTTTTCCATGGTGGTCTAGTTTCAATTGACTCATGATCTCAACTCTTTAATCATCTACTTACTTGCAAGTTTTCATTGACATTTTTAAACAATTATTTGATCCTTTAATCCTTTATTCATGTTTGTTATTTAAGTGATAAAGTTTAATAATAAGTCAATAAAATAATTTTGTTTCTGTTTCACTATTAATGCACTATTTTTCTCATATACATCCTTGAACAAAAACAAACTTCAGAGGTAATTGTGTGTGTTGTGTTAGTCACAGATTGATAACAATTGAAGTATCATTGAAAATCAATAAGTAATCCGCACTAATGCACTTCAGCTATGCTAAGAATGGAACAGTTGTCACCATTGGCAGTGGGTAAACATGTTGAGAATGAAATTAAGTTGAAATTTTATCGTTAGAGGCTGATTCAGTGGTTTTACTAATTAAGAATTTCTCGAAAGACCTGAATATCCTGAGTTCGATCTCTGGTGTGGTCGAAGTTGTGCACTGATGTAGAGTTCGAACTTAGGACAGCTCAATTTTTTCTTACTGTTCAAATGACACCTAACTAATACCTGTTTACAAGGGATATAATTTACAAATTAAATCAAACTCTATAAACGTCTTCAACTTTGATTTCAATTAACTCCCTTCGATCAAATTGCTGTGGATTTTTATTATTCGAATATCAAATGTATATACTTATGTAAAAACTATAATGAGAAATTATTTGAGAAGTATTTTACTATTTTGTTTTACTTTCACAGTAGTCTGATGGACTTTGACTGATTCCTTAATTCAAACTTTTAGACTTACAAAATATATGTCATTGCTTGAATCAATTCATTAGTTCACTGTTGTTTATTATGATTGACCCAGTTGTATAATTTAAGTTGTAAACAAATGCGTTTGGCTCACTTATAGGTTAATTTGTAAATTTTATTCATTATAAAAACTGATAAACTCAAAATCATATGAAATAATGTCAAATTTGTGGTTTATCAGTAAAGGGGTTGCTACGAATTCTGATGATTATAAATGCAATCCGCGAAAAGAAGCTGGTAGGTATTGTTAAATTATCTTATATATATAGCTGAAATAATCTTTCAGTAATCCTTTTACATTAAACATTTGATATAATATATACTCAGTCCGTGATAGAAACTATATTGATAATATTTTTTATTTGACCGTTTTCAGATGAAATAGTTATTGTTCGAGAGACAGATAGAAGAGACAACAATGGTTCAAGTAAATCTCTAAGTCCTTTTTAAAATTAAGTGAATATATATTTTGTATTGAGAAGCATTAACCAGTTATTTCATCTTGCTCAATAATGAGCTCAATAATGGTCTAGCTTCAACTGACTCATGATTTCAACCTGTGAAATTTCTAAAACTCTCCACAAAACCCATTCTGATAATAATCAACTGCTCGTTAGTGACTGACTTCAAGAAAAACTCCTGGAGTTCTAGTGAGAAGCTGTTACCAGTGGAGTTCAACCGGTCTGTTGTGAGATAACAACTCACTGAAGACAATGGTGTACGGTGGCGCAACTTCGTGGATTGGTTGAAGTTAGACATTAACACCGTTGGATGCCGACTCAGTGGTCTAGTGGTTAAGTGCTCGCGCGCGAAGCCAGTAGGTCCTGGGTTCGAACTCCACGTGGTGCGGGATCGTGGATGAGCACTGCTGAGGGGTCCCATACCAGGACGAAACGGCCGTCCAGTGCTTCCAGGTTTTCAGTGGTGGTCTAGCTTCAACTGACTCATGATTTCAACCTGTGAAATTTCTAAAACTCTCCACAAAACCCATTCTGATAATGAGCTACCATTTCCTCATCAAGGGTCAAACTTAGGGTCTTTAGGTTCTGTGGAAAGCTACTAACAATTAGGTATCTGAACTTGTATTCAACAGTTAACATTTTTACTTCATTCATTTAGGGATATTATGTGACCAGCTTTTAGTGATATCTTTGGTTCGTGTTTCAGACCTGACTTGTATAAACTCCATAATTCATTTCTCTTGGATTTCTCAATCTTCAAGAATTCAAGATAGAAGAACATGGGTATTTGCTGTCAACATTTGAAATTTTTTAATTTTTAAGATTATTCCTTTAGTAGTACATAATAAATGTGTTTAAATATCTGTCTTTTTATAAGACTTTACAATAATTACTAATCCATTTTATATTGCATTAGATGAACTTAGAATTCGAGCATTGTTCAAGGGAGCTAAGAGTAAACAACATTTGTAAATTGGAAGACAACTTCATTAATCATGGCTTCTAAGCATTCGATTTTTTGAAAACTAAACGTCGTTGATAATTTGAAAATATTATTTTTTGACTTTGCTCAGAATTAATTCGGAAACCAAATGTATAATATTTATTCTTTCAGAGTTATTGAATTCTGTTATCTGGATAATTGATTTGTGGAGATTTATTTATCGTTCTGAATAACATTATCAATGCTTACTTGGTGTAGAAATGAGTTCACTTATTCTATGATTAGTATTTCGTTATTAGAGTACGTTTCAAATAATAAAAAGATCAGTGGTTAATGGAACGGGACGGTCAATTCAAACGCACAAACAAACGACAACTGTAATAACAAATTACAAACAAGGTTACCAGAAAAAACTAACTTATTACTAATGGAATATCATTGAACTTATTTCCATATCAATTAAGCATTAATAATGTTATTCAAAACGATAAAGAAATCTCAAATCAATTCATGAGTCAATTAAAGCTAGATCACCATGACAAACCTGGAAACACTAGATGGCCGTTTCGTCTAGTATAGACTTCTCAGCAGAACACATTCACGGTTCTGCTTCGTGAGATTCCAACCCCGGACCTGTCGGTCCCATATGCAAACGTTTAACCTTTAACGATGTTATTCTCTAACTTCAACCAATCCACAAAATTAAGCCATTATCCACCATGGTCTTCAGTGAGTTAATATCTCACAACAGATTCCGTTGAACTCCACTTATCACTGCTTCTCACTGTAAATCTTTATCATTTAATACTATTCATTCATTTGGCAATATTGTTTAAAAGTTAATTAAATAAATTGGAATACAAACTGTCTAGTCTTATTTTTGTATTATATTCATTTTAATCAATATTGTGCAAATGCAAAAAAAAAAATTTTTTTTTTGGAATCGTCTTAGTAATAAACATTAAAAAAAATAATAATCTACTTATCAATATCACATGATGTTGCTATCATTAAATTTTTTTTTAATGAATTTACTAGATCATATTACAATGGTAGATAGTTCTAAACGAAACTGGCCAAATGGAACGACGCCAAATAGTAACAATGGTAAATATATACACTTTTTTGTGTAAATTTATTTCAGTTTTTTCTTATATATTTCATCTGTTTATTTGTTTTTCTATCATTTTGTTTTACTGAACAACAAAAACACTTATCTTACTACGCCAAAAAAAAACACCCCGGAATTTTTAAATAATTTTATGATAGTCTATAATTATTCAACTTTCTGTTTTGTAATAATAATTATATCATTGACTAAAAAGAAAAGGTATCTTAGTCTAAACAAATTTATTACACATTTTCATTATTGTTCTACAAATCAATATAATTAGCTCCAACTAACTCATGATCTTAATCATTGAAATTACTATAATATCCATAAAACCCATCTGATATTAATCGACATATGCTCACTAGTGACTAGCTTCAAGAGGTATATCTTGGAGTTCTAGTGAGAAGTAGTGACCAGTGGAGTTCAATCAGGTCTGTTGTGAGATAACAACTCACTGAAGACAATGGTAGATGTGTCGCTCAATTTCGTGGATCAGTCGAAGTTAGATATTAAAACCGTTGGATACCGGCTCATTGGTCTAGTGATTAAGTGCTCACGCACGAAACCAGTAGGTCTTGGGTTCTAATCTCGCGAGGGGTGGAAGCGTAGATGCGCACTGCTGAGTCCCACAATAGGACGAGACGGCCGTCCTGTGCTTCCAGGTTTTCCATGGTGGTCTAGCTTCAACTGACTCATGATCTTAACCATTGAAACTACTATAATATCCACAAAACCTATCTGATATAAGTCAATATGAGATTAATAAATCTATTTAAAGATAAATGTTGAAATGCCACACTATGGACTTGTACCTAAAATCTTTGGTTTCACCTGTAGAACGCTTAACCTCTAGACCACGATGTTATTAATGTCTAACTTTAACCATAATCCTATACTGATAATTATCATATTGTCATTAGTGACTACATTTAGAGAAGGAATTCTCGTGACTAGTAGAGTTCACTTGTGTCAGGTGTGAGGTAGTTACCCAACGAAAACAAAGGAATATAATCTCATAATTTGTGTACTGCTTCCATGCTTTCAATGATGGCCTAACTGTTATATTTGTGGCATTGTGTCCAATTAATATACAAACGCAATGACACTGACAAATAGAAAAAAGTGAATTATCGACCGGACCAATGACACATAAACCCATACGAGCAGTTTACAGTCCATATCAGTCCTTCTTCCTCCTAGCCCTGACTGTTGAGTCCAGAATAACAATCTCAGTCTCCGATATATGAGTCATATATTCCAAACATACTGGGTTTATATACAAGCCAGAACGGACCACATCACACTATAAAACGGAAAATAACACTTGTACAACATCAAGCCAAAAAGTGGTCGTGAATGTGGGAGACTGTAATAAATAGACTTGGCATAACTTAAGAATGGTAAATCGTCTAATAATAGTCTATAGGTCAAAATAAAGCTTATAATAAGAGGAACATGAATATATATAGTTTAGTTACTTAACAACTACACAATAAAAATATATATATCATATTGGTCCATAAATAGATCCTAACAGATAACACCCACTATTCTCACCGAAAAATAACGCTAGCATCGATCAATTCATTACTTCAGTGAAACCCGACGACCTCCACAACTCCAAGCTGAGACGTTTTATTACAATAAATAAACCGATACCCGAAATGAAATAATATGAGTTTTCTCAAATGGTTGCTCGAATTTAGTAACTTAAAAGACGTGCATTGGCGTATGTCAAGTGATATTTCGCCAACGCATCTACAGTCGACTTTATTGATCAACTGTCAATCATTCTGTACAAGCGAGTTTAAACTAATCATATTACAGAGTTACTAAAACGTAGCAAAGAATGTGGTATTCGAATAACTGACACCGTACTTATCATTTAGATTCATTCACTAAATGATAAGAGACCTACCTGTGGATGTTCCTACCATACATTCTCTAAAATTATGTAAACAGTGAAATGTAGTCCAAGGACACATAAACTAATCCTTATATTTGGTCTAACAAATCAACGGCCCTCTTAAATGATTTACTCTTTAGATTCACTTCGTGATTACTTTTTTAAATTATCTAGAATAGTTTTATAAATTTCGAACCCTGCCAGGTTTCTGTTATATTCCGTTAACTATGGAGTCACTTAACCATAGTATGTGACACTTCAGTGGTGCACATCGACGACCCCACCCCTGAGGAATGAACCCGTCATCTTCGGTCTCACACGTAAACGCTTAAACTTTAGAGTACTGAACCATGATTTATTGATTTACAACTTTGAATTCAGCCAAACCCCAATGTCGAAAAAAAAGCTATCTTCCAATGCACTTGATATGTGACTACCTCACACTCGACATTGTTAAATTTCACTGGTCACGATTTTTCGCTAGAACTCCGGTACTACCTTCAGAACTTAGTCACTTGTATTCAAGCACAAGCCTGAAGTTGTTGGATTCGATTTCCAGTAGTGAGACTGCGGCTATTCACTGTTGAAGAGTCATGTACTAAGACAAAATAGCTGTCTAGTGCCTTCTGGTTTTTAATTGTAAAATTAACTTATTAGTAAGGGTTTATAATTGATCCTTGATAATATTCAGGACCACAAGTGACCACACACCGTCACCATATGTGGATCTTAAGAGAAATGTCTCGATGTTTCATTGTTACGAGTTTTATTAAATTTGGTATGCGGCTAGCAATAGAATCGATGGCACACAATTCGTCCTGTTTGAAACTCACCAGCTCGATATACGTATATCTTTGTGTTTATATTCACAATGAGACTTATATCTAGTACCTTTCACTTCAAACACTCGAAATATAAGAGACTGATTGGCTGCTGTCCAAAATATTGACAACAAGGAAATTCAAACCTTTTTTAATCTCTTCACACCAGCTGAACAAGTTAGTAGCTACCACAACTCAGTGGTTCAGTAAAAAGCATTCAAAGAGAAAGGTATTGAGTTCAAACTTTCGTGTTGACAATAACTTTACGATGTTAATGCATCGAAAAAGATTCATGCCCTTGATTCCGCAGCCAGCCACACACTAAATATGAACTTAGCATTGAAAAATAGCGAATTGTTGGAAAGAGGATAACCCAATATGTCCAGTCTTATTAGTCGTTAGTGAAAGTGTTTAAAGGTATACTGAACTTTCAGTGTTTTAAAGTCCATAAATAGAAATTACTAGTTTATTGAAAGTCAGTCCAAAATAATAATAATAATAATAAAGTATATATATAGACATTAGAAAATATATATATATTATGGACTCGTACATTTTTTTGTCTTAATCCTGTGAGCGGGATCGTAGATGCTCATTGTTGACGAGTCCCATATTACGACAAAACGGCCGTCCAGTGCATTCAGCTTTTCCGTAGTGGTCTAGCTTAGATTGACTCATGAACTCAACTACTTAATTAATTAAGTTGAGATTTTCAAATGACTTCAATCATTAGGAACACTACATAAACATTCTTCTAAGTGAATGAGGACAGAATTATTGTTCAGATTTATCGTCATATTATCAGGGGGATTCTGAGCATAATTAAATGATCAAACAAGGTGTTTTTCACGAGAAGAAATCTTATTAGGAAACTAATAGTTTATAGCTTATTTATAATAAGACTCTAGGTAGTCTCTCATGATCAGTCAAACGAAATAAGTCGAATAAGTTTAAGTTGATCCTAACCATTTAAACTATTTATTACAGTATTGTAGATTAAAAAAAGCACTGATTATAATGGTTAGTGAACTGTTTTTTATCAGATCATTTATCAGATCATTTCTATTCTCAGTCTATTTCCTGTCAAACAGTCGGTATCGTATAACTGATCATTTCATTAGAACCAATTTCATGTCGCTCAGTACTAGACAATTGATGGATTTCTATGGAACAGGTTGAAATCAAGTTACATCAAAATGTATCAATCCACTTGCATTTTCTTCGATATTCATCGGTTTTAGGTAACACATCAGAGATAGTAAAAATAGATTTCGTGTTACTAACTGTTGTGGATTTTAGCACGGCTAATTATGACGTGACTTATTCGTCAATCGGAATACGATTTATACGTTCTTAGCACTGTGCCAAACCAATGGCGTGCAACCGGTATAAGCAGCCTAGCGTCCTTATTGATTCTCTCTCCTCCTAGACTTGCCAGTTAAGCACAGAACACCAATACCATCTTCCACCATGCGAATCATTTATTTCAAACATACTGGGTTTATATGCAAGCCAGAACGAACCATATCACACTATAAAATGGAAAATAACACTTGTACAAAATCTAGCCAGAAAGTGGCTGTAAGTGTGAGAGACTGTAATTAATAGACTAAACATAACTTAAGAATAGTAAATCGTATAGTGATAGTCTATAGGTCAAATGAAGCTACCGTAGCTATGCATAATTTAGTTACTGAATAGTTATGCAATAAGAATGTACGTATAATATTTGTCCGTAAATAGTTTTTAGAAGTTACCTATAATTTAATCTTCACTAGGATATAACACTTTGGACTTATCAGTGAAGTGTATCTATAATTTCGTGGTAACTGATTTCCCTAATGATACGTCATCCATATGTTGTATTCATACTTATTGTCACTCTGGTATTTAAAACACATCTAGTCACATGTATACTTGGTTAAGAAAGATTCAAAATATTGTAATGATCGGCTAAAAGATTAGGAAGGAAGTAGTGAACTTGGTACAGGTTACTAGTCCCGATTTTTATTGGTTTTATCAGAAATGGAATATTTGTGAAGATTGTAGTAATTTAATTGTTGAATTCATGGGTCGAACTAAGCTAGACCACCATGATAAACCAGGAAGCAGTGGGCGGCCCTTTCGTCCTATTATTATTAACAAGATACGTTCTTAGCATTATTCCCTTTACGTGTAACTCTAAAATCATTTAAGAAAATCTGACACGAAGTGATAAGCTTTCTTTGACAAAAAAATCCAGGAAACGATATATATTCTTGGTGATTAAATAAAGTATAATTAATTTTTGTTATCTTCATTTAAGAGTAATCTCAAAATTCTGTTTTCCACTTAATGTATCATATTAACTTTATTTCCTGAACCTTCTAGAACGTACAATTCGAACAGAGAAGAAGAGCCAACGAAAATGTGCGAAGAGGTGCAGTATTATGTAGTTATCAATTGGTTTTAATATACGACCAAATAAGTGATAATAATTATAATTTGTTATATGTCAATATAGACTAACTCATAACTTTACATGGATTATAATGTTAATGTTTCGAAAGATTTATTCGACAAAAACATTGACGAGATAATCTTTTACAATGACTGTACTAAATGATAAAAAGGAGCAATCAAAGTGTTTTTGCATTAAAGTGATCTTTTCAGGCAGTTAAAAATGGAATTAAAGATTTTAAATGTGATTTGCATTTCTTAACTTCATTTTTCTGCTGTCTGCTTCTTGTATATTATGCTATACTACTTTTAAAATATTCAGTAGTTTAGATTATGTACTGTTTTTTTTATGAAGTGTAATGTAATTCATACCTCTTTAACTATTAGACATTTATTTTCCATCTTGATTAGCAATTTTTAAACGAATTTTATCTTCTGTTTTAAGGGTTTCAGATTTGAATAAATTGTTTAATTGAAACTATAGAAACAGATCTTGTAAACAGTGATTACTTTATGAGCAAAGATGACTAGTGGCTAGCAGTGGAATCCAGGACGCGCGTTTCGTCCTATTTGGGAATCGTCAGCTGGATGTACTGGCATTTCAGAGTTGATGTTCACTCTGGGACTCGAAACCAGTATCTTGGCTTATAATGCCTGTGAATTAAGTAATATTGAAGTGATTGGCATATTATGCACATATACCAATAAGAGACTGACCAATTACAGTTTTAAACATCAATGGGAAAATTCAAGTAAACAATACCAAGTAATTACTTTAGTGATATTAGTATGCTATTGAAACAGCTTTTATCATGAAGCTGTGTAAACTGGAAAATACCTGAAAACTCACCATTTTAAGAATATATTTTGATCAGTGTTTACCGATTGTCTATATTGACAGGAAATATTCTACATCACATAATATCAGTTTTAATCGTTGGATAAGTAATCATTATTGACACAGAAGACTTACGAAGGTTTGATATTAGCTTCAGTTAGTATGATCCTTTTATTTTGATTAAAAATTCATTTCAGTCAGTCATATAATAAAACTCGACCAATATTCGAAATATTTGTAGTTGGTCTTCATAATGAAGTTACATCAGTTATATGACTATTAATTACCAAGGAGTACTAGATGTATTTTGTCGTAAGCTAGAACTCACCAGTAGTAAGCAGTGACAATACCATATTATTACATGAAACCAGATTTCACGTTAACACGTATGTTCTCATAATAATTGACTATAACATTCCAAGTTAATAGCATTTCATGATTTATGAGACATATGCTGTGCCACAGTTTTCGTCTTATTTAATTATTTAGAGACATCTATTTAGTGTTTATTTACTACAAAATCCGTAACTTTATCTGGTTTAAATACGTTTAGGCGTCAATTAACTAATCAATCATAAATGTCTTTATAATGTGTAGAAGAATTAAATGAATATTGCGAATGTAAATTTGTAAATAACTAATCATATGAACTGAAGATACTGTTTATTTCAATTTAAATGTACATTGTTGTTTAATAGAAATAATAAATTACTACTGTTAAATTACTACAACCTCCACAAAACCTCTTTCTGGTAATAATCATCAAATACTCACTAGTAACTGGCTTCAAGAAGTATTTACTGGAGTTCTAGTGAGAAGATGTGACCAGTGGAGATCAACCGGATCTGTTGTGAGATAATAACTCACTAAAAACAATGATGGATGTATTGCTCAATTTTGTGGATTACTTTAATTTAGAAATTAACACCACTGAATGCCGGCTCAGTAGTCTAGAGGTTAGGTGCTCGCGCATCAGATTGAAGGTCTTGGTTTCGAATCCCGTGAGTGGGATCGTGGATGCACCCTGCTGAGGGGCCATCCAGTGGTTCGAGGTTTTCCATGGTGATCTAGCTTTATTTGACTCATGAATTCAACTCTTAAATAAAAAAACGTGATGATAATAATAAGTAATGAAAAATTATGAAGATTAAGAACATTAAAAGGATGTATTAACAATCAAGTTATCGCTTATGAAAATTATGTGCAAGGGCTATAGAAGAATGATTGCTTGTATGTGTTGCTTTCGCACATAGAGTTCAGGTAAGAAATGGTGGATTGACAACGATTCACCAATGCATAAGTTATTGATTTGAGTTCCTTAATAATTAAGCCATCTGAATATATAGATGATTTCGAAGGACTTACAAGGTGGGGCCATGTGATCAGATGTTTTAATGCTGAACTACTGATTGGTTTACATTCACCTTTAAAAATACACACAGGATGATGTTTTGAGATGCATTTGGAAAGCTCTCGCTTTGTGCGGCCAATGTTAAATACTCCATAAGAGCTAGGAAACTAATAAACTCACATCGATGTGACACAATATGGCCCATCAACATATGATTTCATTATTAGTGGACGTAAATAAACAACAAACTTTCACCAGGTACACAAAGTTACCAGTTTTAGATGGAGATTTGTTTTCTAAGCTAAATGGTTTGGTCGTGGAGCTTTCATTGTTCTTCTGAACAAAATTATCAGCACAAACTTCAGGTGGAAGTGAAGTGTTCGAATTTTTCTACATACAACACAGCATGTCTTTCTTCTGTCTAGCTTGTGGTCCTGTGGTTTTTCTTGTTTCCCGTTAAGTTTCTTTATGTATTGATGTTTGTGGATCCTGTAGTGTGCATCAGTTATCGTTAGGTGTATCATGATCGTGGATGAACAAAAGAGGAAGCTGATGGAGATACTTACATGAGAATGTTTAACAATCCTGACAGCAGCATTCGTGGTATCAAGCAGACGACACAGAGGACAAAGAAGAAACACCCTCAAGGAGAAATAATCAAGGTTTTAAACCACCCGCAGAAGAAAACATAATCAACTGAACGATCAACCAGACAAAACAATCTTTGATGAACATAAAAGAATACCTCCTTCTAATGAGGTTAAATACAATACAAGTGACGCTTCAAAACTAGAATTCTTCGGTTCATTACTGTCAGAACTCAGCAATCTCAGAAGAAATGAAGAAACTCAATAGGAAATTAGACAAAGCATAGTACCGCCAACTCAACGGAAGAAAGAAAACACCTAACCGGCCGCACAAGTACAAAAAGCCTTAAAGAAACTCGGAACTGGGAAGATATAGAAGACATCAGAAATTACAACAAGATTATTAAAGCTGTTTGGAATTGATGTAGCACACAAAATAGCAAAACCACTTCTGTTAGTTTGATGTAAATCAAAGTGCGAAATAACAAAAGAGGGAAAACCGAACATCATCTATAAAATAAACTGTTACAATTGTCAAAAACACTATATCTGACAAAATGGACGCCCTCTTCATCTTCGCCTGCATAAACGTCAATTAGCGGTCAAGCTATCGTGAATGAATGTCAATCAAATAACTTTTTTAAGTTTTCTTTCTTTTGCATAATCTTATTACGATTTGTACATTAACTAGACTTTGTTCATAATTATGTTGAATAATTATTATGCTACTGTTTAGTAATTTCATTACTTTTACATAATCTACTTTCTCTTCGTTTTATTACTTAGTAACTATAACACCACTACTCTACTCTCTTTTCTGTCTACAACATCAACTCTGGTATGCAGGCACATCCAGCTGAAGAGTCCCAAATAGGACGAAACTCTCATCCTGGGCTCCACTACTAGCCACCATTCATTTTTACTACTATACTGTATTTGTCAATCCTATTTTGTGGTATATTATTCTTGTTATAATCTCTAATTTCATTTCCAACACCCGATAATACTTCATCGACTAAAGCATATTCAATCTTTATTTATAATTACTTCTTGTAATTTCAAACTATTTCCTGCTGACATAGGAAGCCTTAAAATAAAATAGGGTATATAATTCGTATGGAGAACTGTGATGACCATCATCAAAGTGGTACAAGTATTTATTAACAATTGTCTACTCGATATATTTACTTCCCGTTGATCGGATATCATCAGCAACAACCTACTGTAGGAGAGGACAAACTAACTTCCATATAAAGAGGAAATTAAGAATAGACGTTGAAAGTGGATATGTGGATAGGACGCACATTATGGAAATCATCAAACTGCATCACGAAGCAAGTGCTAACATAGAATCCTTAAGGAAAAAGGGAAGGAAGAATACCAAGGAATACATTGCGTCGAAAATCGGAACTAGACATGAAAAGAATGAATAGCAGCAGGAAACAACTGGAAAGGATTGTCCATGACATAGTTAGATGGAGAATGGTTGATAGGCGGTCTGTACTCTTCCACGAGGTGTAACCGACACAATAAAGTAATATAATTTGTAATTCCTAGTTTATATTAAATTTATCAAGAGATTTAATGATATGAAACCACTTAATTTATCGAAATACTAATATATTGATTTCTGATGTATTCCATTTGTAGTTCATACGTTTCTAATGAATAACTGCATAGTTTCTAACGAGTTATTTCGAAAAATTTGTAAAAAAAATTTATACCGTTTTTCTTTCTTTTAACAATAGTCTTTGTTCATAGTTTAACTGAGAATTTAATCGACTAATAATTAATAAATAGTTTTATAATTGAATTCATAAGTCAATTAAAGCTAGATCACCATGGAAAACCTGGAAGCACTGGACGGCCGTTTCGTCCTAGTGTATAACTCGTCAGCAGTGCGCATCTACGAATGTCGGCTCAGTGGTTTAGAGGTTAAACGTTCGCGTACGAGACCGATAAGTCTTGGGTTCGAATCCTGAAGGGCGGAATAGTGGATGCTTCTGCCAAACAGTCCCATATTAGAACCAAACGTGTGTTCAATACTTCCAGGTTTTCCATGGTGGTCTAGCTTCAATTGGCTCGTGAATTCAACTATAAAATTACTAAAATTTTCACAAAATAGCCTCCTGATAATAATAAACCATTGTTAATGAAAGTAATTTGTCATTTATCATCTCTCAATTCCATGCATAAAAATGAAAGAGAAAGGTATCCTAT